GGTAGCTACTTCAATAGGCGATTATTTCAACAGAAAAAGGGTAACCAAATCAAACTAATTACGAAATGTAAAATAAACTTAAGGTTAATATAGGTACATACTTGTTACCACATATGAATGGAATTGCCATTTACTACATCGATATTCAACACTATACAGGGGAGCTGATAAGTTTAGAAATGATGGATTATCGGGGAAAATATACAAGATATCAAAAAAAGTTTTGGGGTTCCAATGGTTACTAGACAGTAATAATTTTAATTATACGGGGTTGGTTATAAAGGCGCTGAACACCAAAATTGCATTCTATTAACGAAACACCTTGTATATTATTTTTTTATTCTCTCATTGTTAAGCAAAATTTGTAAAGACGCACAATGTTACCTAAATGCAATCGTTTACGGGTTATCGAGTTTTGAAAATCAATACTGACAGGTTTGGAAACGGCCGATTATCGGAGAAAATATACAAGGTATCGAAAAAAGCTTTATACAATAGTTTTAAAGTTCTTCAATGTCTACTAGGCAGTAATAATTTGAATTGTACAGGGTTGGTCATAAAGGCGTGGCCTAGGGCGTGGCGAACCAAAATTGCATATTTTTTTAAAAAAATGGAATACTGCATATTATTCCATATTTCAATTTTTCTCTTAATTTTAATTTTAAGCAAAAGTGGTAAGAAGCATAATGCAACCAAATTCAATGGTTTCCGAGTTATCGAGTTTTGAAATTAAAGGCTATTATTTTAAAATTTATTGAATGAGGAACAATACTTAATGATTCCAAACAATAAATTGGTTCTTTTAACCACAGAATGTTTTCAAAAGAAATTCGTGATGTAATTAACTTTTGTTCTTCATTCAATAAATTTTAATACATTAGCGTTTATTTTCAAAAGTCGATACCGATTAAATTTTGGTTATGCTCCTACAATTTTGCTTAAAATTGAGAGAAGAATTGAAATATCGAATAATGTGCGGGGGTTCCATTTAAAAAATGTAACATTGGTGTGCCACGCCTTTATGACCAATTACCCTGTATAATTAAAATTATTACTGCCTAGTAGATATTAAAAACCCCAAAACTTTTGTATACAACTGTTTTCGATATCTTGTATAGGTATTTTCTTCTCTAATCGATCGTTTCCAGACTTATCAGCGGCTATGTATCTACAATAAGTTTAGGTATATCAGACAGTAGGTACGCTATCAAAAATGCGACAAAAATGTTGGGGTAATTTCTTCGGTTTGGGAGAAAACAGCTGCTTATGACTTTTATTCAAACAGAGGTTATTTTACGTGATCGGAAATTTGCATTTCCCCTTTAATGTTTTTCTGAGCAACCATAAGAGTTACAAAGGCTGATGCACGTTTATTCCCTTCCCGATTTTGTATTTTTTTAAAAAAAATTCCTACCTCGAAAAGGTGCACCCCTAAAAGAGGTGTAACAAATTCTAATTTCGACGAAATTTGGTACCTGGTGGTTTTTGAACATGAAAATCACGAACCTGAAATTAGTTTTAAGAAATTCGAAAAAAAATTCCACTGCAATTCTTGACCGGGCAACTAAAATGGAGAGAATTCCATGAAATTGCCCCTTCGTCCTTTCGTGGTGGGAATTTTGAAAAAAAATTGCAAAATCGGAAATGGCATACCTACCCCAAAAACCTATTCAAAGACATACTAACAGTCTTTGTAACTCATTATGATTCCTGAGAAAAAAATTAAATGAGAAATGCAAAATTTCATCATTTTTTTAGGGTGACTCCCAAACAAAACACCTTGGACGCTCGGTTTATTTGGAACAAGTGCTTGTTTGTTGTTAATAATTATTTCCATCAGTTTTCCCATACAAAAGGTTTGACTAGTTGGGCGATGCTTTTTCCCGGAATCCTGGGTCCATTGATTTGAATTACAATGACCTCCTGCTATTAATTAGGGTAAGTACCTTCTTTCCACAGCACATTAAAGAGTTATAGAAAGATTCTTTTAGTACCGGGTGACCCAATAAGACTGTTCCCCGGCCATATCTCGAGAACCGTTCGTCGTATGACTTAGGAGGAAAAAAACTGGCCTCTTTGGGTGTTATTTGGCTACCTACTTTTTCATAAAGAAAAAGTCATATCATTCCATTTGATTTTTTAAGATTTTGGATCGTAGTGTCAAAACTAGCCCCCTGGCGGAGAAGGAAACAACTAAATTAACTATATTTTGGTTGATTCTTGTTGCCCAAGGAATGCTTTTTTCAACGATACCAAATTTGTTACAATCGGTCAAACTGTTAAGAAGTTAAAGCAGGATATTGCAAAAAACCATTGAAAGCCCCACGCCATCTTTGTTTTTGAAATAACCGAGTTTTTCTTTTTACGAAAATGTGAAAACAATTTTTTAGTTTTTTATGCGAAATTTAAAGAAAATGCAATTTTAAAATGTACTATGGCAGTTACGCCCTCTGTTGGTCATTTTTAGAACTTGAAAATATTTTCCAGCGATTTTTCATAACCGATTTACCCAATAATTTTTTTTACCACTAAATAAGTCATATGACGAACGATTTTCGAGATATAGCCGAGGAACAGTCTTATTGGGTCACCCGGTACATGTGTCAATTTATTGAACATTTGGTTGCAGATCCCATCTGGTCCTGGGGCCTTCGTTTTCCTACTTTGCATCCCAAACTCCAGTTCTTGGAATGTAAAAAGGTTCATTATATTCCAAATCAAGGTGAGTAGTATCGAACAATAATTCAATTTCGTTTTCTTTTTTGTTTTAGAGAAATGGGGGTGGAATTGCTTACATTTACGCATTTGCTGGCCGTTTACTGCATCTTATGCTGTAATACTATTTTGAAATTCTAAAGAATAAATTGTTTGAGTTTGGTCAGTGCCACTAATTACCTACATTTATTTTTTCCATGTACCTACTTTTTATGTTAGAACTGTTGCTGCAGCAGTTCATACACCTTTCTTTATTTTACACTGTGGTTTTAACATACATTTTAAGTTTTTTAGAAAATTGTAACGGGTCGCTACTTATATTGATATGTTCGAATTCAAAATTCAAGCGACGAGTATCGTTAGCGTAAATAGAGACACCGTTTCACACAACGTAGTTACTTTATAACAATGTGATCTGCAAATTTTAGCAATGATAATTGTTTATGTGAATGGAAGATTTGTCTTGAATTAGATGTGCTGATTTTGCATTTTGTAGATTCATGCAGGTTCATGGGAAATGTAGTGTCGCTTTTGCATTTGCCCTTAGTAAGTAGTTGTATTTTGTGTTCATTTTCAAATTTAAGTTTTGTGCTGTAACAAAAGGTAATTTACTTATAGTTGTAATTGTAATTATTCACTTTACTGTACATTACGTGGCCTTCAGCTGCTTTGAACTAAAGGGTAAGTAATCCTTGACTTTTTTAATTGCAAGTTTCACTATAAGGTGTATGGCCTTTTCTAATTTTTATTTGATCCTTTAGATCAATTAGCAACTGCCTTTTCTCCCCCGCATATAGATGCCTAAGTTATAAAATTACTTAGCGGCATTAACCTCGAAATAAAACTTAGTCTAAGAGCTACCGTATCCAGGGCCTTAGATGCATTCCGGATTGGAGAAGGTTCGGCTCATTAACAAAGTATTTTTGATTCATTTTACACTTTTCATTAGTTATTTAATAAACTTCCTGTTGCTTTTCAATAATCGTGTTATTTGCGTTCCATCTTTCCGATAGTAAGCTTATGTACGAGTGCGTGCGACCTAATCTTTTACAACGCAGGGAATCCGGGCATTGTTGAGTGAGAGCTTTGTATTTTGTTTTACGCGTGGGAGCTTGATTACAATTATCTTTTATTTTTTAAGAATTTGCATGTAGATACAGGCTAAAATTGAAAAAATTCCTACTACTTTACTTTCGGAGATATCTCGAGAAAAACGAAATTTTGCTAAATCGTTTTTATTTATTACCGAAGTTATTTAAACAGATATTTCAACATAAATGATAAGTACATCATTATGCCCGCTTTTTCCCTATACAAGATGCTAGTTTTACATTTTAAGTCTGACGTTTCGTCTCCGGTTAACCATCATCAACTTTGGTTTTTCTTATGGAAGTCATTTTGACTTTTTGCGTAATTGAATAGAGCATTTTTTTCTGATTTTACAAAAATACAGCGGAATGTTTCAAAACGGCATTTTGTTAAGCATCAAATTACGCAACTTTGCCAAATTTATAAAATAAAAAGGATTTTTGGCCGCGAGCGGTAAATAATGACTGTTTTAAACAAGGACACTAGCTTTTGGCGAGGCGCCGCTTGCTCATCGGGCAGCAAACTAAACCGTGCTGCACCTGCACCCTCATTTGTCAAAACGGCCAATATAGCGTCCCTGACCGCAAACGTTTAAAAGCAGAGCATCCGCCGTCCCTCCGGCAACAGCGCTCGCCGCATGCACTTCAACTATCATTTTGCATATACAGGGTGTTACATACAAAGATCTAAAAAAATTGGTTACTGAGAAAAAAATTAAAGAAAAGTTTTTTGAGGGTAGTTCCCAAACGAAACACATTGGACCCTCGGGTTACTTGGAAAAAGTGCTCGTTTTGATCCTCCCTGCCACCCAATTTTACATACACATGTAACACCCTGTATTGTAATTAATATATTCCATAAAACGTAACAGCATTTTATTTAGTGTCGCCTGCTAAAAAGAGCTTGCATACTGTTGCAGAGAACCACTTTTCCAAATTTTACTATAACCGCCCGACAGTAAACTGTTAAACATGGCCATATACCTACTAATAATTAAAAATGACACAATGCTTCCACAAAGTTTCGTTTCACTTTCTACAAAAACTGTTCAATCATTTTTAAATTTGGTCATAATAGGAGTTCACATTATTAAAATGAAGATCATATCTTCAAAAGCATCACTTGTTTCAGACATTTCATGTGTTAGGGTCAGTGGGATAAGGCATGAACTAAACCAATCCACAAAACAAATAGAATAGAAGGTAAGTACATTTATATTTTATCTTTTAAATCTTTCTTTATGGTAGATTTATAAAAATCAAATATTCCTTCAGCAGCTTTTTTACAGAGTTCCAGAGCACTTTGGTATTGCGCTAAGTTGAACGATCCGGAAGTGTGAGACGCAATTAGTCCTTTACCTATACTATCAAACACAAATATAAAACTAGCGGCTGCAGTTTCCAAAAATAAATCGTCTGGATCCAAATGGAAATTTCCCTCGTCATCTAAACCACAACTTGCACTGGCAAATAAAAATTTCATATCTGTACCAGCATTAAGTAAGGCTAAACAGCAGGCATTTATGGCACAAGGAATTATCTAAAAAAAATTTTTTTAATTACAGCACATCAACTTTCAACTTACTCCTCCACAATTCTGCATTTCTTGAATTATAATTACAATTGAGGATCTTGGATAAAGTGCTGAAGCTAACGCTGCCTCACAAACGTTGTGCAATATTGATTCACACAACTTATCAGCAATTCCTGAAAGGATATCAGTGAGCATAAAACGGTAGAGGGGGGTACACAACACATTATACACTTTATCAAAATTAATAATCAATTGCATATGAAAAATGAATTTTATCTAAGGAATGCATTTCGCTAATTACATAATTTCAAGGGAGACGGAAGTGTCTAAAATGAAACATTGCCTACATAATTTAACTATGCAAAAAATTTTCGATTTCCATTTTAAAAACGGACCTGCGATTTTTGTCAGGATTACCAAATCAGAAAAACGTTAGCATCAGGTTTATGAAATATTTAACAAAATAACATCTTTTTAATGGAACTCCCTGTATATTTTTACATATTTTGAGAGAAATATATTCGTAATTAATCTAATATCACAGCTGCAACTGCAACAAATGGTTTATTTATGCTGAATTTTGTTCTCTTTCAAAATATATAGAATTTCCCTTTAAAAAAATATTGTGTAGAATATTGCAATGAACCAGTGCTTTTTTTATTGGACCATTGTAATACAGAGAAAAAATGCCCTATATCATTGCTTATATTTCGAAATTGAACTGATCTTGTATCTCCAATAATAAAAAAACTTAGCTCAAATGCCTCAAATAGTGGTAAGTTTAGTTAGACCTCACTCTAAAGGTGTCCAAAATAAAAATGAACAGCACAACGATTTTACGAAAACTGTACGTTAGAAATCTGTATTGTATTGTAAGTTTGTAACCCTATGCCGTATTTTTTTCTTGGGCACATGCTATAGGATGACCTACACTTTTTAGCTTTTCCTTAAAAGTATTTACACATTGCAACAACTGTATTCGCCAAATATCACGTTAACGTATCATTCTGTACAACGTTTATATGCTGGAGACAATTGCAAGAATAGTTCTCACCAACCACCATTTGATTTGCAACTTAAAATAAGCTTTCTATCTTCTATGCATAGAAAGTGATTTGTAAAGCAAATCATTTATTCCAAGATAACACTAAATTGTGGCTTAACATTTATGAGCGCATTGGAACATTGAAAACAGCATTTTCTCCTAGTGTACACCTTAAATTAATATAACAATGGTAATAAACAGATAAACCTTCCGTTTAGTGCTGTACCCGACCTCCTCCTACAGCACATTATACCTACACCCACCTGGCATTCCCGATTTTGGGCAATAGTGTGTCTCAACTGATGCTTTATTTATCAATATCTTATGTGGTTTTACTTCAATAGGTCCATAAATTCCCACAATGACGGCAGTTTCACCTAAAATGAAAAATTCAGTATACACAGTAATCTTTAGCGAGTACCTTGGCTAATGAACACAGATCCGTCCGGTCTTGTGAACATGCCTAATTTACAATTAACTTCTCTCATACTCAAATTTACATTACTTTCGACTTCCATTACTTTGTAATAATAATGGTAGGTGCATACAAAATAATTGTGATAAATACATAAGGTAAGGTTAGGAAATAGTGGTTGAAATTTATAGGTTACCTGATACAAATGGCCGACCAAAAGTTACTTGAACTACTTATTAAAATAGTGTAGTCGTATTGTAACTCATAAGTGCATGTATGCATACTTATACAGTGAGTTTTTTTAAATGCGAACATAAGAGTTTGCATGCAATGTAATTTCCCTATGTTCGATTTAAAAAAAACACATCAATCTATGAGGTGTGCGCCGTTCACATTCCCAAAACGCACAACATGTGCGACTAGGAACAGCAACTCTATAGTCTTTATGATGAAGAGCGCTCGGTAAGGTTTTTTTAAAGAAGCCATGTGAGGCCATAGCAACTTTAGGATACATTTTTCTTAAACTTACGATACCTTGACCTCACAGGCCACGCACCGACACCACAAGTCATTGTGAACCAACCTTCAATTATTTGTAGGTCATGTGCACCTGGTATTCTACTAATTTGATCTATTCAATACATATGAAGAAAATAAGAAAATAAATACCAAAAACAACTACAATAAATGTTCGAAGTGTCCTCCTTGACATTCTAAGCAATAACCTAATCGATTCGTAATTAAATTTGACGGCGGTATTTTTAAAAATGTGACAGCTGTCAATTGTATCTACTACTCATTTGAACTACTCAATAGATTGATGTTTTTTTTAAAATCGAACATAGGGAAGTTCCGTAGCCGAAAAACCTTAGACCATATAGTACATGGACTGCTAATTGTAACTAAAATATGGTCAAGGACATCGCCTGGGTATGTGAGTTTCAGGGTAAACGAGTCTGTCCGAAATTGTCCGATGAGACACGATTTTAGACTGTCAACCTATAAATTAACAAATGTCAATTAAGGGTGTATTCCACTTAAATTTTAATTCTATTTGACGTATGATGGGTTGCATAATATTTACTTGTAATGAAATGGTAACGAATAAACAAAGATTGAAGAATTTACCTGCCCAACCATTGTACAAAGTAAACAAGTAATTACGCTAATTTAACCAGGTCATTAGTCATTGTGACGAATATGCATATATAATTATGCATCGATTAGAAAACGCAAATCATTGTCACAACGGCTATCAATAATTTCACTTTTCCCAGTTTTTAACAAGACGCATATATTTTTTTTAACCCAGCAATCCATGAATTGTATTGACCCTATCTGGAAAATAACGCATGTAAGCGAATAAGTACCTATAAATTAGATATCTTTAAAAAAATGTACATTTTTTACTAATATTCTAGATGTGTTACAAAAAATCGTCTAATTCGGGACCAACACAAAATAAATGAGAACTAACGCTTTTTACGCAAATTATATCTCTTTCCGAAGGATGCTACATGGGGATAATCTCAAATTTGTATCACACTAAAATTTTAGGGGTGTTTCAAAATTTCGTCTAATTCGGGAACAACACAAAATAAATCAGAACTAACGCTTTTTACGCAAATTACAATTCTTTCCGAAGGATGCTACATGGGAATAATCTCAAAATTTTATCACACTAACATTTTAGGAGTGTTACAAAAAACGTCAGAAAAGACGCAAACTTTTAATTCACCCAAAAATAAATCACATTTCCCGTGTGAATTCTATTACCCAGTATATTATGGAATTATAATACCTTCTAATGAATCCGGTTTCTATTTGTAAATTAGTCCCGATAAACGCAACAATGCCGCTAATGAAGTCAGGCCTGCTGTATGATGTGTTGCCTACTGTACATTTATAAATGGTGACTGACTTCACTAAACGCTGGAAGTTTTCGTAAAAAATTTCGAATGAATATTTCGTCTAAAATTTTTTGTAATTTATTTGAAAGTTTGGTCGAAGGCTCTATGGTTTGCTAATGTTTTTTCTGAGTATGCTACAGGGAGATTTTTAAAATAATTTGTGTTGACGCCGTTTTACCTATAAAAGTTCACTTTTTATTGGCAGTGCTCTAAAAAATTGATTTTTCTTAAATATTAAAATTTTGTTCTGTAGCATACTTTTTAAATGTATAATTTACACGAAAAAAATTCGCCCCGTCTTTCATCTCATGTTTTACAGAATTGAGACGAAATATAAATCGCACTATTTTCGCATAAATGTTGTACTACTGGATTACACCCTTAATTAATCGCCTAGATATGGCAAAAAAAGCAAACCTGTTCTTATTTGTGGACGTATAGAAGATAATCAAGAGTATAAAGCTTCCCGTACTACGCGGTTACCATAAAAGCTACTCTTTACGCAATCCGAGTGGTGTTCATACGACTTAGTTTACCCTGAGATTCACATACCCTAAAGTCCCTAGATTGCCAGGGACTTTAACATACCCACGACTACAGTGCCCTCTATCCGTGACCACCCATTTTATATTGAAAGCGTAGGTCTAAGCGAAAAACAGATGATACATTGCCAGAGCCGTCTTTAGGATGGAGCGAGTGGAGCGGCCGCTCCAGGCCTCGCGCTTAGGAAGGTCTCACGACAAGCCTTTACTCGCGCCAAAAAATACGTAAAAGTTTTAGTTGAATGAAAATAATATAATAATGTACAGATATACGTGCCTAAAATTTACAGGGTGTTCATTTGAAAACTTCCCACCACGTATATTTATCGAAAACTACTGCCGAAACAAGACAAAATTTGTCTTGTCAAGGTAACCCTCTCCCCCCGGGTTATTCCCTTAAAAATTTTAAATGACAAGTGGTATCGAGTTATAGCTTGTTTGAAAGGTCTTTATTCCGAAGTCCTTTATCTTGACGTTTGATTTTTTAAAATCGCTGGATTTTTTTTCGATAAAATTAGAATAATTTCCACTCTTTCGGTTAGTTTGTCAACCATCTTGGCAGTAAAATCTGAATCAATAAATTAATTTTCTCTATCTCAAGATTGTCACAAAGGTAACTGACAGCAAATTAAATTTTTTCTTTCCCATAACAACAAATAAGTGATATATTCTTGTGTTTTTGTTTTCTATCTGAACAAATTAAGATAAATAAACATTTCAATTCACCCGCGCTCCCCCTCGATCGTTCTGGTAATCGTTGGAAAAAAAGGCCCTAAAAAAATATTTCGCTCCAGGCCTCGCATTTGATAAGGACGGCTCTGTACATTGCACATGCACATTTGATTTTCTCGTTTGCATCATGTTGTCGAACTGACTTACTTGTGGTTGTTTACTTTCGAGATTAGAATACAAAATTCCATAAGCGATAAAAGGTATTAAATAATCAATTTCTTATCTCTTAAGGCCGATTAGAGTTCCGTAACGGTAAGAGCTAGGTAGCGATAAGAAATAAGAAGAATAAACATTCAAATTATAATGGTGGCATTCAGAGTTTTTCCGTAAGACGCAAGTACTTAAGTAGTAAGAGATAAGAAATGGATTATTTCATTTCATACCTTATCGTTTACGGAATCAGGTGCAACCGTTCAGGGTATCGATTCCCGAAGTTAGTCGATATGCTCCGTGATGTGCATGTGATGTGACCGGCTGCCATGACGTCATGATCGTATACGATAGGGATAAGTTCAAGTTTAGCTGCATTCCCGAATCGCGAACAAACTGTATGCGCTAACCAATCACAGACAAGAATTGAACTGTCATTTGTCAGTTTTGTATTTTGTTTCGTTTTTGCATTAAGGATACTGTTATTTAACCAGAAAATCCTCGAACAATTCCATGTTTTATTTCACAGAAAATATGTGAATTTATAGGTTAGGGCACTGAATAACCTCTATAGCAAAACAGCTGCAAGATCCGTCCTGTAGCTGCTACTGCGCATGACTTTCACGCAACGAGTGGTCTAGACCAGTCGTTGCGTTCGATCAACTTTTCGCTCGATGTGGTAGGTTCGAGAATGCAGTGACATTCATGTTCACATCAAGGTCAGTCGATGTGAACAAAGCACATCTTCGGGAATCGACGCCGTTCGATCGTGCGGGTTCGTTAGCGTTTTGTATAAAAAATTGAACAGCTGTGCGCAGTGTTGCCGTGTCGTGTTTTTTTTTATTAAGATCAAATCGCGCATGTGCAAGGTACCAATAAATTATTTTACGGTCTTCCCCTACGTTACCGCTTTTTTCATATTTCGTACCTCATACCGCTCTGAATTACTTTTGGCGATTATGCAGAATGTCTGGAGATCTTTAAGCGGAAAACGACACTCAACATTTGATTCAGACAGATAAACATCAAGGCAATACTATGCGATCAAAAATGAGTTGCTGTCGAGTCACCTTTGGATCTTTTGTTTACATGGAAAATCCTATTTAACTTGAACTTCCAAAGGCGACTCGACAGCAACTCATTGTTGATCGCCCGTTATTTCAAAATTCTATAACACAATCGAAAATAGAGACGATAAGCGATATTTAATTCCAGGCTCAAGGGTTATGTCAACCCCTCTATAGGGTCATTATGCTATACATAGATAGTTAAATTGATTAAGATGTAAATTTTTGGTCTGTCCTAATATTAAAGTATATTTCAAATTAGTTACAGCTATTTTTCCATATTGATCAATATATTGTGCTAACTCAAACGAAATTGGCTTCCTAACTCCAGGCGAACTAATGATCTCATTTAATTAATTTGTAAAGTGCAGTTCATGTCACTAGAACTTAGAAGGTATCCAATATATGAAAATTGCAACTAATTTTCAAAAAAAACCTATGGTGGTGGTGTTGTTGTTTTTTATGTACGCGGTAACGAGGCCATAAACACCACAAACCCGAAATGTTACTCTATTCTGTTCACCTTGATCAATTAGTGGATTTTCTGATAACCTTGAACAAGTCTTTTTCAAAAAATTATTCACGTGTCTATACAATCAAAAATTTGCTCAAGTTCAGAAGACAACAAAGGGATATTTAATCCCGGGCTCATTTGTCACCTTTCCATGGGGGCAATTAAGTATGCTATAGTTGTCTCAAGTTGTTGCCGATGGAAATTGATTAAATGTAGATTTTTTTATTTGTTGTAATACTAAAGTATGTTTAGGACAGCTTTTGTCTATATCAATTATTCAATAAAAAAAGCTAGCTCCTAGGTCGTACGAAATACTTTCTATCGACCTATCTACCATAGATGAATTTGCTAATTCACACAAGGATGATAAGAGATTATTGTGGTGTGATGAGAAGTAGCGAGGAGATTACAACTATCGAAGACGTATTGCAATTGATATTATTGTGTATAAATTAATAAATATGCAAATACATACCTGATAATTATGTGTACGAACGACACGTTTAAATTTCGCTAATAATTGCAAAATTTAATATGATTATGGGTAGGTCAACAAAAAATCACATGAACATTCTCAACATATTTATTTACAACATTATAAATTATACATTTTACAGCGCGCAACGAGACGGTGAACCAATGTGATGGTGGTTGTAGCAAGTCGTATCCATATCTGGGAGGACCGGCTCTTCTCCAAATCATCCCATGGGTGCGGTGGCAAGAAGGCATAGTGTGTGACTTGTTTATCGTTGTAGATAGCGAGATTACAACTATCGAAAACGTATTGCAACTGATATTATTATGTGTATAAATATACAAATACATACCCGATAATATTCAACTGGTTTCAATGCAATTTCCAATGGTTATACAGTGTGTCCCAGATCGGGTGGGATTGCATGGGTAACTTTCTTATTATTAAAGATAGAGAATTGGTTAAATGGACAATGTTTTGCAGTTTTAGATGCTTATTTAAAATTTCCTTGTGGAAATTCAAAATATCGAATAGGTTCGACGTTGATTAAAAAAAACTAAAATTGGTCATTACCCCTTTAATGTCTTATATCATCGAAAGTACAAGAGATATAAAAAAAAAGTTTTATATAAATGTTACTGTCTTTGATACGCTTAATTTAGAATTGATGTCAAAACAAAATTCAAGATGGCTACCTTTGAGGAACATTTACCAACTTCCTAAAGTTAAATAGGCGCCATATTGGATTTTTAAATTATTTGACAAATTTTTTAATTCTCTTTTCAACGAGCTTATTATAGCATGAGATTAAAAATAAGGTACCATTTATATCAACGGTTTTTATATTTTTAATCAAGTAGGCTATTGTGAATTAAAAAAAAACAAAACAAAATCTATTCGAGGCAGCACAACACGTAAACGAACGTAAAATTGCCGTTATTTTACCATTTAAAGACAAGCGTTATACCTTCGTATCGTAACTGGTGTAATATTTATATTCTGTTGAGAACTGCTGACTGGTGGGTGATTGGTGCTTATTGTTCTATTCATTTAAATAAGCCGTAAGGATTGTTTTGAACGACTTTCGCCCATAAAAATCCGGTTTTTCCCATACATTTAAAATGCAAATCCAATACAATTTATCGCAATACTATTGGGAACACCCCCAGCGTTAATGAGAAAAGTAACATTATTTTCTGAATACACTATAGGTATGCAGTGGCGTAACTGGTATTTTTCGAAGCGGTGCCGGATAAGGTTTTGGCGCCCTACCAGATTTTGGCGCCACATCAGTTACCATATTAAGCTCTAATGATTAAAACACTGTAGTACTGTAACGTACTGTACAGCGATAATTACATTTGTTTATTATACCACATACCTCCTCCCAGACTCTGACCTCTTAGATGTTAGTGTCAGAACCCTAAATTTTTACGTTTTCTTGTAGTATTTTAAGTTAAATATTTAGAGGTCGTCGTCTATCGGTTCTTTTATTTGAAGTAGCACAGAGACAAGGTAAATTAAAGACATCGTAACTGTTAATTAGGTTTACTCCTTAATTAATATTTTTGGAAATAAACTCTTTTTCATTTGCAATCCACCCAAAAATTTTACAATAAATGCGTCATGGAAGAAAGAATCTCCCTCGGCAATTAAAAGCATGTGGGCGTTCCACAATAGACAAATGGCATTTAACCGATCTACCTACGAGTCACCGCATAAGTGGCAGTACTCGGCACCGATAGGTCACGCCACCGCGGACTATAATATTAGGGTCGAAATGTCTTGTGGTCTGTCAGCTGCAGTAAACATTCCAAAACCAGTAGAACTTTCTTTGACGCGTATCAATTCATCTTCATGAAGTGATAAAATTAAAATATGGGTCAATTATAAGAGGAGGAATTAACTAATCATTTCAGCTAAGTTAATAGAATTTATTAGCAGCTTACGTAATTAGCAAACTTTAATTACAATTACAAATAATTGACGGCCGAACGTATAATTTCACAAAGGCTAAATTTTAATTAGTCATTTCGACAACGTTAAATGTAATTACGTCGGTCTTTGGACCACGTCCCCAACGGCGGCATTAGCGCCCCCATTAATTAGACCAATAAGTTTTGTGACTTATAAACAAAAGCGATATTAAAGTACGTATTCATCAATTCAATTATTCAATATAAATGAAACTTTATTCCTTAGATTACATTTCACATTCCACGTCTTTTTTACTATCAAAGTTGCTCGTTTGAGTTGCACTGAACGCTTTCTTTATCAGTTAAATATCCATTTCGTTCATTTATTACATTCTGAAACTATAATAGATTCAGCCCAAGCATTTTTTGTTTATACAAATTACGAAAATGTATAGCGCCGAAACTGCGTCAAATATATATCGTCCGTTTATGAGATCCATCATAAAGGCTCGCAAATTTGTTTTGCACCCTGTAGTCGGTTTTAGCGGATTATTCGAATTTAACTGCCGTTTTTTCTTTAATGATTGGTCTATAGCCCGTACTACTCACCCGGACGTGGTGTCCTAGAGAGCATCCGGGGCCATCGGTGCCTTCGGTACTGCTGCGACTTCGGCGCGCCTTTGTCCTCTCAGAGCGGTGCCGCGGCACCTTCGGACCTACCTAGTTACGCCACTGTAGGTATGTAGGTATGGATAATATGATAGTCAATAAGTGACGTCATAAGTCAAAATTTTTCTATGCCTACTTATATAAAATTTTGGAGGAAGTTGTAACGCCCAAACCCTCCTCCCATGAGTGCGCCCCTGATATTTTAAACATCTGATGTAATTATTTTTGTTGCTTCGAATAGATTTTGTTTTGTTTTTTTCTAAATTCACCATAGCCTACTTGATTAAAATATAAAAACCATTGATATAACTGGTATCTTATTTTCAATCTCATGCTATGATAGCTTGTTGAAAAGAGAATTAAAAATTCTATCAAATAATCTAAAAATCCAATATGGCGCCTATTTAACTTTAGGAAGTTGGTAAATGTTCCTCAAAGGTAGCCATCTTGAATTTTGTTTTGACATCAATTCTAAATTAAGCGTATCAAAGACAGTAACATTTATATAAAACTTTTTTTATATCTCTTGTACTTTCGATGATATAAGACATTAAAGGTAATGACCAATTTTAGTTTTTTTGAATTAACGTCGAACCTATTCGATATTTTGAATTTCCACAAGGAAATTTTAAATAAGCATCTAAAACTGAAAAACATTGTCCATTTAACCAATTCTCTATCTTTAATAATAAGAAAGTTACCCATGCAATCCCACCCGATCTGGGACACACTGTATACAGTAGATGGCGGATCCCATCTATTTAAATACAACTACCAAAAGATTATATCCGCATAAGACTTGGTAGCTCAGTTAGTTACCTATAGGACTCATAATCCAATTCGAATCCGTTCCATTACAAAAATTGTTCGGGTACACTAGTCACAGGACTTGATGTTGAGACGTCCGATGTCGATGGCGAAGATGGGGGTGCGCAAGAGGGCGGAGCACGCATACGCACAAAACCAAAGTGATCCAAAAATGACCACGATGGACCTTTGAATTTCCCATAAGAAATAACATGGGATTTCTAACGTAGCTTCTTAAAATTGTGTTAAAAATTATGTAGAACTTACACGCAGTTCTTTGTTGTTGAATAAACGATTTCTTCTCAACTTGATAATATGCGGGATATTATCATCAATCTTCAAACACTGGATGTTGAAAAAAGTCATCAATCTGTCAACGCCCAACCATTTCTGCATTTTTACATTAGTCAAAACGCCATTAGTGACCACGCCATGGATAAATCCTCCACAATTCGCTATGTCCACTATTGTGTGAATTGGCAACTTTGCCAAATCCTCACCACTGACTGGATGCAAAGACAGCTAATGGTTGAGCCGGGTTGAGCGTAACTTTCATTGAGACTTTGGAATAAAACGACTAGTCCGTGTGTTGCCTGATCTTCATTATTGTCCCCTTGGAGCCCTTCCTTTCCAAAGTTAACCAGGCCTTTGTAGGTCAAGCTTTGACCAGAAACAGTTATCCACTTTCTCAGGTTGATTTCGTCCAGAGCTATTGTTCCGCTCCGTTGTAGTTCGGTTTTACTGCTGAACTGCTTTTCAGTAACTTAGCGAAATCTTTATCGAATCAAAAAGTCGTAGCATCACCATCACAATTGGGAGACATTTCGGCACTCTTTTATTTTGGTTTTGACCAATGTCCTCAACTCATCGCACTTTTTTTCCAACTTTTTCTTCAATGATTCCGCCTTTTTTGCGACACACAGCTTTCTCTGTTTTTCATCGTGAAGTTGTTTCGCGCGTAAAACCTTTAACTTATTTATCGCTCGCCGTTTGCTTCGATTTATTCGCTGTAACAAATCTTTGCATGCTACACATTTTCTGCCTTTAGTGATCAAAGTACAGTCTTTCGAATGCCAAACGCCGTCACTACTCTCAAATATAGCGGATAATTGGACGTTGACATTGCCAGACAGAATGACGCCTTTGCATGCTCGTCTCTTTTCAAACTGTAGTAAAATTGCAGGAACATCTTCACAGTTTTCCAACTGCAAAGGAAATCCTGATCCTTCATTTGGTTCAAGTTTTCTCCCGTGCACAGAGTACTTGATTTTGCCAGTCTTATCGATGGTCACAGCTTTGGTTAATGTAGGAATCGCACTACGGCGACTAATAACGTGAGAAAAGATCATGTGATGTTTGTTGTCAATAATTGCTTCTGATGCTGTCCAGGACCATGGTATGGAAACGGCGGATACCTCTGAAGAATATCCAACGCCTGTAAATAAATGTTTGCTAGTAATATCCAACACTATACTTGTTAAAGTTTCAATGATTTAAAGCAACTAATTAAAATGAAGGGACAATTTTTTTTAAATACCTTTTTTAACAACTCAATGAATTCAAATAAATCGGTTACAATATTTAATTAATACAATTTCAATTAAGAAACAATACAGGGTGTTTTTGGGAAAGTGAAATAGGTAGATTTTTAAAAATTTGTACTTAGGGGTTACTCTAACTAAAGGTCGAATCGATGTAAAATATTTTCAAAAGGGTGGCACTTCCAAAAATAGCGAAAGTAGCTAGTATAATTTCGTTATTGCATTTAATGGAGAATCAAAATTGGCATATTTTGATATTACCTGTTCCTATGGCTATCTTTAACAGTTTCTAAAATTATTCCCAATTCATTGAATTAATACCATTTTTTTTTAAATAATAGTTAGGTTAACATAAGTTTTTCAATAATCGAAAAATGGCTCGCAATGGTTTCACGCATGAAGATTTTTGGAATTTAATTGTTATTTATGGTTAAATGGACAGAATCGCGTCACGTGCTTGCAGAACATTCTTAAATCGCATTTGGTGCCCCAATGACGGAAATTTGCTTCGTTTTACACGATAAAAAGAGATAATACAATGTTTCATTCCTTATCCTGCGAATTAAGCTTTCCGCGGTAAAATTCTGTTGAGTCAGCCTTAGAGTTAGTAATCCATGTGAAAATTACTTAATTAACAAAGAATCGCCGCCATTGCTTTCCATCATGACATAGGCGCCTACGCGGTCAGTACGGCGTTTTTCATATAACGCCTTTTAGAGCCTTAATTAAATTTGGCGTTCGGAATATCTGTACTTATAAGACAAAGTGAATAGTTCGAAACGACGTTTAGAATAATATCAAGTAGTTATGGAAAGTTACTATTTCTTGGAAAAGTTGCGTGAAAAAGTGAAGTTCCCATTTTGTCGTATAATAGAGAAAGAACATGCGGAATTTGCGTGCAGTTGCCGCGCACATTTAGCATGCCACAAAAGTGCCATATCAGTAAGGATTAACATGATACAAAATTACGTCAAGGAATATTTTCAAATTACCGCGTAGAAGGTTAAAAGCTCGCAATCGAAATTCCGTTAGACAAACACACTATCCGTATTTCTAAACGACGTATTATTCAGCAAATTTCGCAAAAATTTTTGCGCGCTCGGCGCAGTGCCACACATTAAAAAAAGATACTCTAATATCCCGTGTAAAGTGAAACTGCGATAAAGAAAACTGTTAGCAATAGCAGATATTCCGCCCTGTGATGTATCAGAAACGTCAGGTTATCTGCCAAACAACGTTATTTGGCGTTATTTAGTATGGACAAACTAACGTTTTCTACAGATAACCTGCACGTTAAGTTGGTGATACATCACAGGGATGAATATTTACGTTCATTTTTGTGCCACTAAAGTTAAAATTAATCAAGGTGAAAACTTTACTAAAGGGACTTCCTACATATTAAGCCTAACATTCAAGAACAAACCCTTTAAAGCACGTTTATGCTTGTGCTCGTTTGTTTTGCCAACCCAAAATTTGTACTGAGCAGAAGGATCAACAATCGAAATCTGCAATTCAATTGATCTTCATCTGACATTCCGTCAGAAACTGTATATAGCTATGGGAAATACAGGGTGACAATTTGAAAACTTACCACTCCCCATATGTTAGTAAATAAACGAGATATTTAAAAAAATCAAAATCCATTTCGGTAATTCGGAGGGGGAATCATAATGACATAGTTGGCGACGCACCCCCTCCAACCCCCTGCGCCCCAGCCACCCCAACTTTTAAATCTTAAATAGTGACCCCCCATGTGTGATACGTCGTTGGAAAGCTCTGAAAAAATGCTTTCCAACCATACCAAATAGCATTACATTTAGGTTAGTAATTATCGTGCAAATCAAAAAATGAACTAATATGATACATTTGAAATCTGTCGTATTTAAAACGCAACCGGCGAACATAGACGAACTAAGACAGAGAATAATTCAAGAATGTCGAAATATTGCAAAACCAACATTTGAAAAGGTTCGACAAGAGTTTGAGAATAGATTATAACTGGCGATCAAAAATGAGTTGCTGTCGAGTCGGCTTTGGAAGTTCAAGTTAAATACGATTTTCCATGTAAACAAAAATTTCAAAGGGCGACTCGACAGCAACTCATTTTTGATCGCATAGTAATACTACTGTCTTACCAATAACGGAAAACATTCTGAACATTTATTGAAATAAAAGCCAACTTTAGAAAATGTATCACATTAGTTTATTTTTTGATTTGCACGATAATTACTAACCTAAATGTAATGCTATTTGGTATGGTTGGAAAGCATTTTTTCAGAGCTTTCCAACGACGTATCACACATGGGGGGTCCCTATTTAAGATTTAAAAGTTGGGGTGGCTTGGGCGCAGAGGGTGTGAGGAGGTGCGTCGCCAACTATGTCATTGTGATAGTGATTCCCCCTTCGAATTACCGAAACGGATTTTGATTTTTTTAAATATCTCGTTTATTTACTAAGATATGGGGGGTGGTAAGTTTTCAAATTGTCACCCTGTATAATATCAAAATAATGCCAATTTTAATTCTCTATCAAATGCAATAGTAAGAAAATGGTCACTTCATTAAAAAAAGTTTAGTCTTTGAAATTTCTAAATTTGGATTCCCATAGGTGCGGTTGTACACAATTTAACTTTTTTTAAGTACACTAAAATAAAGTCCTATTCTTTCTCTCTGCTCTGGTAAAAATGGGTTGCCATAACTACATTTTCAAGTAATCAATTTTCAAAGTACTGTCTGCATCCGTCATTTTTTCCTGAAAGTCAAAATAACCTAAAACCATAAATTGTAGATATCGAGATGTAAGTATCAAAAGAACTATATAATAATATTTTACATCGATTCAGCCTTCACTTTCCCAGAAACGTTTAACTAAAGCTCCCAACAAAACCCCGTATAGTCTGGCCATATTTTGCATTTTTTGTAAGTTTTTAAATTTTTAAATATAAAATGTTTATTTTTTAATGATGACATACTTATTTTATCGATTATACGAAGTATCTTAGTCTCTGGTTGGGTTTCCATGTCTGCTGCAGTTAGCATTTGAGGTTCACAACCTTGGTCCTCGTTTACGCTGGGATGTTCAATATCAACCTCCATGTTCAAATCAGAACAGTTGTCAACTAATGTTCTATCTTGGTCGACATTATGCACATGCTCTTGGTCTCGCTCTTGGTCTTTTGGCAATTGCAAGGCCTCAGAAATTAAGTCATTAGTAGCGTAAGACCTTTCAGCACAAGGGACATCATCCATGCTACAATCATTGACTGCAAACAAAAAACAAACAATTGCAAACCAATTTTTAATAGTTATTTGTTTCATTAGTACAAAAAATGTCAGTTTTCGGGACGAGGAAGATAGTTGCTGGACGACGCGTTAGCGGAGTCCAGCAACCTTCCGAGTCCCGAAAACGCATTTTTTGTACGAATAAAACATAAAATTTTTTCTCCAACCCCCTTTACTTCAAATTATATTCGAATTTAGATTCAGTCACAGTTTCACTACTAGTATAAGAACTTCTGCTTTCTTGTCCTCACGTGTCATGCCACTCTAGTTTTTAGGTTAACTTATAACCTATTCGTTCTGACTTCTTACTTCTCACCTCTCGCGACTTTGTAGGGAGCAAATCTTGAGGTAGCATGTTCTGCCGTTTCTATAATCTCTGGCGGAGTGCAATCCATGTCGCTATCAGTTTCAGTCATTTTATTGTATACACAATTAATATTGTTATATTTTGTATTGAAATAAAAAACTTACCGTACAGTTTTTTAATTAAAATTAATTGCAATTAACTTTTTCAAATTTTGAATTCAAAATGACAGATAATAGTGCAAGGGGTCTGAAGTAGATGGCGTTACGCGCGACGGCGGGTTGTATACGTATTAAAATTACGTTCATCGAATTATGTAAATTACGTTACACATGGTTTAAATAAAAATAGCGAGCGTAAATCATTTTCAATACATGTACATACGTATTAGGTGACATCATTATTTGCATTGAATATGCAAAAAGATTTGATTTGTATGTATAGAAATATCTTATAACCTGCAATGTAAAACGATGTCAATGTGACATATCTCCGTGATTGTAATTTTTTAATTGGCCAACTTTCAAGGTCAATTTCTTTTTGGTACTAGGACCAAAAGTATCTACTTTTTGTACAGTTGCCATGGTGAAAGCGATTAATCCGCAAAACGTCAATTTTACGTACCGAACACTGTCACAAAATAGCGTCTTATTCAGGTGGTTGGAGAAAAAAAGTATTTTTTATAGAATTAAGATATACTCTTTTTCAAGTACTCTCTTTTATGCTTTGCCATGATTACATCAACAAAATCCATAATTATTTAATTCTTGATGAATTTCACAATAAAACACTGCAATTATCCATAAAATCTTGAAAAAATGTGAAACATAATATCAAGCATAATATTTTAATTTAATTCTCATTACCAGTTTCTGACACATTGTTGAATATGGTTGGGTACGCTCCAGGTTGCAGTTGGGGTCGCTCATAATCACGCTGCAAATAAACTGTTTTTAATTTAAATTCGGAGTCAATAAAAACAATTTGTCGTAACTATCCCCCGGCTCCGGTACCTACCCGGTTATTTTATCACATGCCATTAAATGAAGCTGTTTATTTTTTCGTGTAAGTTTGCATTCCAAAAAAATTTAACTCCGCTGAATTGGGATATGCATTGTTGTAGAAAAAAATTTCCGATAGCAAGAAGCGAAGCCTACTGGTTGTAAGCTAGTCCCATAATGACTACACTGTAAGCGAGACTGTAGGTTTATGATATTTGTAATCTTAATACATTGTAGATATGACAACACAAAATAACCGGAATTTGTATGAATACTGGAAACGGGAGCTAGTCATTGGCGACAAAATATAAGTAAAATCATTTTTCTCATAACACAATATTTACTATTCTCATTTGAGAGTGTCTCTCGTCAAAATGTATTACTCACTCTCACACGAACTTATAAATTAAGATATAAGTTCGTGATTACTCACCTTAAAAATAACATCACCTTTTTCGTTATACATGACGCACTGTTTTTTTAGAAATTTCTTTTCGAAGTGAAGCTCGCACACGTAAAAAACATCGTTAACACAAATTTTGGGAATCGCAAGCATCCACTTTTTACGCATCTCCGAATCTTTGGGCACTTTAAAAACAGAAGTTTTTTGTTTCACACTTTTGTATCCCGTTTTGCACTTCGGAACAATGCATGGTTTCGTCATTTTTTTTCAAAGCGGCGATTTTTTTGCTTAGTGTGGCGTAGAGGCTTTTTGTATACTTAACCGTGGTATGAATAAACAAAGGTAGAGTGTATGATCTAAGGTAGAGATTAGATGGAGTTTAGGTTAAATCGTTCAAAGCTAAAGCTTAGCATAGTCTATGGTTCTGATTTAAAACCTTATATACAGTGAGTTTTTTTTTATGCGAACATATTTTTTAGCATTGGAAATGCTTATGTTTTGTATGGGTATGAATTTACCAGGTTTGCCGAGTAGAAAAGAAGACATGTGGTGTCGCGTCTAGTGTTGATTGTACCGTACTCGACTGCAATCGGTAGATTCAGGAAAAGTCGGGGATACTGTCGATACGGTACTGTTACAGGTCCATTTTTAGTTTAGTTTTGCGTTATTTATTTTTTCTACTCATATGGGTTAATGAATACATTAAACGTTCCAATTTTATGAAGTAAGAGTATAAATTCCTCACATTATTGGATAACAGCAGTGAGTAATAATTAATCACTGGTCATGGCTTTAAAAAAACTCCCCGCAGCCAGCCAATGAGAAAGTTTCATAAAAAACAAAGAATCAATCTGTCAATTTATCTGGTTGTAACTTCCCTTTGTATCGAAATATAGGACTTGCCCAAATCTAAGAATTAGATTTAATAACACAAAAAACAAAAATGTGAAGCAAAATTGTATAATTGAAAATCAATATTAAATTAAATAAAACATCCCATGCTAATTTAGACCGTTTTTAATATAAATTAAGTTGCTGAATTGAACTCAAAGGAAAAGATCACTGTATTACGACGCATCGAATTTGAAAGTGTCAAGATGGATAGCGAAAATGAAAATAATTTAAGGTGTACGCCGCCAAACCAAAAACAGAAACGGCAAAACAATTACCTATGTTTAAATTTATAGCCGGGAAAGTCTAAATATCTTAGATCGATCTAAGCTAAATATAAATATGAAAATTTGAATATTTCACTCCCATTTTCTCGGCCTAAAAGACAACTACTTACAAAAGGATCTTCAAAGTGTAAAAATAGGAAGTGAGGTTAAGTATTCGTACAAATTCTGTTACTTCGTAAGTCGCACATGCCTGTTATTTTGTCGTAGTTTTGGTAGTACCCGCATTATTCAATGTTTAGGCGATTAGCTATAATTACATATAGCAATAAACCCACAATTTAAACGATCAAATTTTAAGAAATGAGAAACGAAAGCTTGGCAACCTTTTCCTTTTGAGATCTCTGATATCATCTCAATTGTGACACTGTCACAGTATGACCAACTTTGTTGAATATTTTCATTAAATTTTGCCAAATATTCGTAGAAAAAGTATAGTATTCTATTCGCATGTAATGGCTATTACTCATTCGAAAGAATTACGGCACTCGCCGAATTCTCATGAGTAATAGCCACCATTACATGCTCATGTAATAATATACTATTGATTTTTAGGTTAGGAATTTGTTTATTTTATTTTGATTTTCATATCATAGGCGTACTCATTTCATTAAATCTCTTCTTTTGATTTCTTCGCTTCTTTCGATTCTTGCCCTCTTCTTACGATTGTAAATACACCTTTTCACGCTCTAAACGCTTCTTCTTTCATTACTGTTTTCACTATTCTAATTTTCGAAGCTTATGTGTACTATTTTATTCAATGTTACGCCTCTGATTCGTGTCAGGGCCATCTGTTGGTATTTCGTCTAAACTACGCTATTCTTTCCCGCTCTTTTCAAAAATCTATTCTTTTCCCGCTAACTTTTTATGTTCCTTAATTATTGGTATTACTGTTCGTTTTTTTCAAAATCTTCTTCGTTTCGTTTTCTGTTTTCGATAATTGTCAATTTTGTCGTGTGCTAGTGAGGTGCGAAATTTTTATAGCTGTATTTATCCAAAAATTTTGGGATTATTACCCTCTGGAAATTCACCCTACTCAACAAAAAGAATTAGTACCCGTCCTTTTAAACCCTAATTTGGGAATCAAGAGTAGAGGAGAGACGCACTTGTGTTTCCGAGTGTTCATATAAGTACAACCAATATAAATATTTTACCATTGAATTTATTCAATGCTTCAAGGTTTAATAAGAACCGTACACGTTCATTTGTTTTATTTTGATGTAGGATATCTGGATTAATGTTATTTGTCTAATTATGATAAATTGAAAAAAAAATTTCTTGAACAAGGGTAAGACATGTTCTTATCATCGAAAAGGGAAAAAAGTCGCTATCAAATGAGCCTAATGAAAAGGTGCACTGCCATTTAAAAAAACTCCTTACTCATTTGTTTTTGTTTTGTTTTCTGAAATAAAAACAACTGAATGTTTCCTTATTATGGGAAATAAAATGTTAAACAACTTTCATATAGAAAAATTTTGTATACCTACAGTCGATATTTACCGAGATATATACTATATATTCCATACATAATGGGCACCGTGTATACTGTATAATAATACTTCATGGCCGACTTTAATTATAATAATTTCCCAAACGGGAAGTAATAGTAGCATATCAACCATTTTAATTGTTTAATAACTCAACAATGGTTTAAGGTAGAGGTATGGTGTGGTATATCTTTGAATTCAGAAAAATATGGACATTACGAAAATAAAATAAAATACAGGGTGTTCTATTTAAAACATATATCTATATATTATTTTGTTATCGCTTAGCTATCCATGGTGCGTTACTGTATTTTTTGGTATATAGTAAGATGACTCGTTGTCATTCCTACAACTTTTATATTTAATCTATCTATCTCAGTATCAATGTACTTTCATTCATGGTAAACACCCACTACTACCAAAATAAATAATCTCTGCATTAATAAATTAATAAATGATCAGATATAGCTGTTTTTATTCTAATTTCTTAGACTTTTCTCACTGGCATGAGTAAGTTGAAAATTGGGCGCTTAAATAGGCGTCCACTATAATAGTCAAAATTCACAATCAGTGACAATGTTATTTTAAAAGTAACACCTGTATATCTTTGCGTCAATTTTTAGCGCATTTTTGCAAATTTATTTGTAAAAAGTAGCTTTTAATCTCACTTTGGCTGGCTGGCTGGCTGCAAATGTGGGCGCGTAGAAGAACTCTTGTAGAAAGGCAACGGGTATACGTGTATCTACAAGGCCGTGAAATTTGTCAACCTTAGGGACATGGCTACATGATGTGGGGTTGGCGACATCTGGGCGTCATCCTCGAGCGTAGTATACTAACGTGAAGGTTTTTCAGTTTTTTCCTATCTTCTACTACAGTTTTGGTCCGATTCTTTTCAAATTGGTGTCGTCGGAAAGATGTTGTAAACGCGCACAACTCCTGCGTGGCGGAATTTTGTTTTTTATCCTATGGGCGAAATTAACGACATTTTGCGAGGCGCGCGCGCGTCTTCGAGAAGTAGTCAACTTCGGGGGCCTTTTACCTTCCGTTGCGAACTCACGCGGTTTAACGTTTCGTAAATCTCGAATCGCTGTCTGTCTTTCTCGTGTCGCGGTGTCGCCAATAGAAGCGAATTGCGGGTGAACGGGACGTCGGAAGTGGCTACCGTCAAAGGGAATGTGGTAGCCCCCGACCCGATTTTAACTTTAAAAGCGAATTGCGGGTGCACGCGGAAAGTGGGAAACGGTTAGTGAATATAGTAGCCTTCGACAAGATCTGTTATTGATGGTTGAGTATGAAACTGGGAAAGCGATAAAATATAATAGTTTCTCACAAGAAAATAATCCAGTGCTTTATATAAAAGTAACGAAATTACTTCTTACATAATTAAACTTGAGATCCCTATTTAATTCTAATTCATACGAACAAATAGCGTCGATAATGAAAGTACAAGTATTCCACAACATAAACATAAGCATCTTACCTTTAATGACGAACTCACCAGTATAGGAAGAGGACTCTGTTCCGGTGTTTCTAGCGATTCACTCTAAAACGATTGCTTGAGGAGTCAAAATACTTGCATTCCGATCCACGATCGACTGCGTTAATTAACGTGTTGCAATTCCTGAAAGAGAAGGCACAGTTACATTTATAACACCACTAGGGGTAGGGAATGCAAGACTGCAGCAAAATCTCAATCCCGGTATTTGCGGGATCGTTAGATGTTAATCCCGCGGGATCCCGGTATTTGCGGCATCCCGCAAAATTTTAAATAAATAATTGGCAAATAAGCAATTTTGTGCGGTTAATTTCTGTATTAAAATAAATCGCTAATTATCACAATATTGAACAAAAAAGTACCTTCAGCCTTCTTGGATCTCAAAAAAAGGTGAACTTCTAAAGTGCCTCAAAAATCATAGTACATTTTTAACGAAAAAAGTTTAACAATTATTTAAAAAATAACTTCTCCGTTATGCGGTTCATTAACAAACTAAACAGTCGTCCCCTTGGTCGACTTCATTTATGTGCGGGATTGATCCCGCAAAAATGCTGCGGGAGCCAGGGATTTCGGGATCCCGCGATCCCGGTATTGCATGCCCTAAACACCACCTAAAACAAATCGATCAGTAAAGCTAAAAGTACTCACATTTTCAAAATTTTAAAATTAACATCAGTATAATCCCTTGACGAGGAATCACCCACAAATTTTAAACTTGATTACTATAATTGAAGAAAAGAAAAGTTAACATAACGACCCATTGACCCAGTTTCTTTATATCCGCTACATGCGCTGTGTGGTGTAGGTTATCTCAGTACAAAGGCGTTGTCCTTGTACTTGTTAAAAATTTAATTCCTTTTTACAGTTTCTACAGTTTCCTTTCGGGGCGATAAGTGATAAACGTTGCTCAAGACGACTTCCATTGGCAACGTCGACGAAAGCATAACATTCCATTTTTTAAGGAGCTTGCGATTTTTCTTCATCCCCAGCGTTTTTTGTAAACAGCATGCGTTTTTGTATTAGCCAACTAGCGTCTTGGTTATGGTACCACTCAGAGTAAATTAGAAAATTTCCATAAAGAAGATATCCAGCCGACATCGACAAAAATAGTGCAGATATCCCGGAATTCAAAACCACTACGTAAAAATCTTCCCGAAAGTCGATTTTCAGAGATTAAACTTACGTGCATGTAAAATTCCATCCACCTGGAGGACAACGGTTTGCTACAGTTGCAGCAATTAAATAGTTATTTACATAAAAGTCCGGAAAATGAGGAAATATTGAAATGCGATGCCCCTTTGTTGTAAATAAATAAAGCACGTAATTAAATTTACGTTACAATATACAACCAATTAAGAATTTAGGAAAATTAAAGGTGTTACTTACACGTCTTTCTCATTAAACAAGTCAACGATTACCCAACATTGCAAGCAATTTTAATTTCAAATGAATTGTCGGTGAAGATATCATACGAGCAGCGCACTCCATTCTAACACTGTTGGTGATTTCCTCATATATTACCATTTACCAGTTATCTTTTATCTGGTCAAATCTCCATACAGCGCTGTACCCGAATTTTGAAAAATAGCTAAGGTACCCTCACTACCCAAAAAATTTAATCCCTTGGCCTGCTTGACCTGCGTTCAATCAGTGTCTTGCCAGTATGTATGTAAAGTTTTTGAAAAGTCATTGTACAGCCTACAGGAAAATTGTTCAGTATTCTCCCCGAGTTATAATAAGTGTTTATTATAAACTATATAGTTGTGAAACAGCGCTGATTTGCAAAATTACATCTTGATACTACTTTTCGCGGGCGTCCGGCATCATCAGACATTCCGCTCTGTTATTAATTCTTCATTATGTAGTTCAATGGTACAGCGTTGGGCTATAAAGCCGGAGGTCGGGTCTTCGAATCTGGGCTGAGGTAATAATTTTGTATTTTCCTTAGACCAATTTCGAGCATTCTGCCGGCTATTCCGAATTAGGTTTTCCTGCAGTTTTCTTAGTTCGTAAGGTACCTATCTACCGGAGTAGTATAGAACAACTTAAGACCTTCTGCAGAGACACCTCTAAAAAGCATGACCTATGCGGGTCACTGTAATTGGGCGCAAGTCTTTTTAGGGTCCAGAACAAGAAAGGGATAATAAATAAATAAATTATATTGACTTAGGAGCACTATTACCAATTATCACTTATTCAATGGTGTTAGGTACTTATTTCTAAGTTTCTAAAGGGGAGATATCAGTTAGCTATAGTGTCACATGGTGTTAGCTCTTTAGATTGCAATGAAGAGATGTGCGGCGTTTCACAAAAGTTCAATTTTGGTCCGCTCCTGTTTATTACATACTTACGTCTTGTAATGTGCTTTATTCAATTTAAATTAAACGTCAATATGTAATCTACATTTTATTCAACTCTATACATAGTAATTAAAATTCTATGTAGACAAAAAACTGTACGTTCCTGCTGCCTACTATTCCGGACAGCACTTGGCTCCAGATGTGCTAAAAAAAGAAACAAACTGTATTTTTATGCGGATAATGTAAATGATATTGTACATATGTACATAATACGATTTATAAATGTCACTTAATAAAGCCGGACTAATTCTAAGACATTATATAATAGCAAAAAATAGTATACTTACGCCTTAGCTACGACAAGAATCAAACCCACGAATTTCATTTTTAAGCTGTTAGTATTGCGAACGCTCTACTTAATAATAATATCGTCGAATGTCCATTCTTTTATACTAATGCTTAGTCTTTCCCTCTCCCAGTAATTTTACTCTGCCGAATAAATTTTATGAATATCAAATAACCTCAAGTAGTGAGATTATTTCGAAAATAGACATTTATCGTCAACACTTATGCGCAAAACCGAAAACACTCAGTATCACCATAGTAACTCATTTATAGTTAATGACAAAACAAACATATATTTGCAGGTCATTGAAAATTAGAAACGTCAATTATTAATTGTCAATACCTACTAAATCACAAGATTGCCCTTATCATTGTTTAAATACTTTATTTAAACAATGCCCTTATTTCGTATAGTTTCTGGAACTTCTTGCTCATTCACGATGAATTGAATTATTTAAAATTACGTTTGACGTTTGGATGGTTTCAATCACATTAACAAATTCGAACCACGCATACTCGATCAAACATGATGAATTATTTTGTAAACGAATTTTGACGAAGAAAACTATTTGTAAAACATAAAATTGTGTATGTACCACGTGCATAAACTGATGTTTATACTCTCGGCGAGCTTTTTAACTCGTCGCCCTCGAGAATATAAACATCACTATTATGCCCTTAATACATAAATAACTATTATGGGTGGTGCTTGTCAAAATCTCTAGGTATTAGTTGTTCTTCCAGTGGCAGATTTTCCGGTTTCCCGTCAAACAGAACACGACTCAAATTCCGATAGTAGGTATAAATTGGTATCTCGTTGTGGAGAAAATGATCGCCGGAAACTGATACTTAAATTTTCTATAAGTAACATAGCATTTTATTTTACTATACTTGTTTACACTATACTTGTTAGGCCTAGAATAATTCTTTCTTTTTATCACAAATTAACCTTGTATACAAATTCAGCAGCATTTCAATATGTTATTTACGGCTTCCGTCCCATTTAAACCTAAGTTGGGTTTAAAGGAAAAGCGCTGACTAATTTCTATATACCTATAAAGTTGTCAGAATTTAGTTAATTTATGTATAACGTATGTGACCATGCAAAACGGCTGCCTTGTCGACCATATGGACGCAATAAAGGAGTTTTTCATAGTATGTTACGTAGTTAGCCTTGAGCCAGTTAGGTACATTTTGAGTCTTATCAAAATCAGTCGTCAACAAAATACTTGTAACTTATCTACTCAAAGTAATCGATTTATATAGGTAATGTGAACAATAAATCATTACGTGTAATCGTATTCAATAAAATTATTCGTTGGTTGCGAAACAACCTGGTTCTTTATTCGAAGAGTCGGAGATCAATCTAAGATCTCAATCATTGACCCATTCGAGCAACGAGATGATCTACAGAACTTATCGATAACTTTTCAACAACAATCAAGCTGCAATTCAGCTGAGGAAACTTCTGGACATTCGTGGCCCCGGAGTAAAGATAAGCTTTCTTTATTCCTAAGTCTAGCTAGTTGTAGTGTATGTACAAACCTTTCAACTTATTCAACTGCTCGAGTCGTTAGGTTCCTTAAGCTCTAATCAATCGGCACCAAATTCTGTAAACGTGGATTGAAACGTCAACAAACAGTTAAACAAACACAAGGCCACCAGGGCCCGCGGTGTATAAACGATACATACTAACAAAATTTCTTGTAGTGTATGTAAGAGCGAGCATTATACAAACAAGTTTAAAAAGTCATTATGCAAACATAAAGACGAGAGCATATTTTCCTCCTAATAATATTAATGCTAGGACCAGGGAAAAATACCGGTAGGCACGAGATCCTTACCCCATCTCTTTCAAATGAGCCGTCTATCGTCGAAATCTATACAGTTTAATGAAAAGTAGCGGAGCGTATACAAATACAAACAAATTTTGAAATGGACATTAGTTTTACTTTTATTCGAAGTGTCTACATATGAAACTTTTTTAAATGATTTCGTAAATAATACTGCGCATCATTTACATTAGAAATTTCGTTAATTTTGAAATCGGTATTAGTTTTAGCACAGATCTACACATATATGTATGTGTAGATCTGTGGTTTTAGTTTCATCAAAGTGCCTACATTGATATTTCATTTAACTGCTTTCGTAAATCAGAAAGTTACCATTGCGCATGCGCAAAACAACATTTTGAAAAACGTCGTTAATTTTACTTGTATTAGTAGTGTTTGCATATACAGTTTCATTTAAATATCTTCATAAATAAAAAAAGTTAGCATTTCACATGCGTTAATTCAAACTTTTGACACCAACAAATATAGGTATGTACGGAATCCTTGGACCAAGCCCTATCAAATGAGCCCTATATCGCCCAAATCAGTTCAGTAGTGTAGAAGGAGTACGTGTGACGGACGGACGGGCGACAAAGTGCAGCCAATAGCGATTTTTCATTTTTGCACGAATTGGTTTGCCGAATAAACCTATTGGGAAGCACTCCGCCAGCCTTGGAAAGAACATATCGAGATTTTAAGCACTTTGACTATCAGGTATTTGACCGCGACTTAAGAACTGTCGATTAGAACACAATTTACAATCTTCCTAGCATAGATGATAAAGTGCAGTTCCTCACTGTAAATACTTATTATACATTTACTAGATGTTCATGCTCCAGTGAAAACATCAAAATTTATAAAACCATTCGTTCCTTGGTTAACGGATATCTTGAAGATTATGATTTCACTAAGAAATAAAGCACTTCAACGCTTTAAACGCAGTGGATGTCCTAGTCATCGGGAACATTATAAAACCCTGCGTAACCTAAAGGCGGATCCACATTGGTAAATATTTGCGTTGTGTGTTGAATTCGACACGAATTTGCTCGTGTGCGCCGAAATTTTTGTCTATGTGGACTGTGCGCCACACGAAAACGGTCTCAAATAATTTCGTAACGAACAACGCACGCTATCCACTATGCTGTCGGTTTTCCAGTCATTTCAAAGAGATTTGCGCTGCAATGTAGTTTCAATGTAAACTTGATTGCTTTTAGTCCAGTCAAATTATCATAATACCTTGCATCAGATGTGTCACTTCTGTCAAAATAGCCCTGAAATTTAGATTTTCTTGACGGTTTCAGGTAACATTATATTAACTTCAAACTAAAAAACAGCCACCTCTTTTCTTCCCAAATTCAATAATTCATGAACATCACGTCGTTTCACAACCCTTCCGCTACGTGTGACCGTCTCTTCATGTGTAGACGCTGTGGGTTCAATTTCTCTCGAAATGTTTTCATCTAAGAACGGTTTATCAAAATCACGGTCAATATGATTATCGTTAGGTTTAAGTTTAACACTACAATAGATACGAATACGGATATATGGATACACCGTTCAATTTCTAACAAACACAACTTCTGTACGGGTCGCAAATAATTCACTATGGGCGTTGGGCGCGTTCGCACCTCCAGATTCAGTATGGGGTCTTATGGACTAATTGCCTCTCTTACTAGTTTGCGTCATTCTTCGATAATACTATCCTTGTTTCTAACCACATTTTAAATTGAAGTATTAAAACAAAACATAATCTTCTCGTGCTGTCATTTTCACGTTTGGCAAGCATGTACTGTATGTCCATAAGCACCATATACTGAATTTGGAGGTGCGAACGCGCTATAGTCTCTGTTTTCAATTATTGCACTACTTTAACAACTCCATCCTTTCCAGGATACACTTCAATCACACGCGCAAGGTGCCAATCGATTAGTTTTTTTAAATCTGAAAACACGAACACAAGATCCCCGACCCTAATATTATCAGTCTGTTTACCTTTGCTTAATAATAAATTACCCAAATATTAGTCAAGCTATTCTCATCGACAGCGTCAAGATCTGGAGTTTCTGTAACGGTTTCTTCTTGAAGAAACAAATTTTTTATCCTATACAAGGAGAAACTTACATTTTCTCGCCTGTGTGAGGACGCGAAAGAAGACAATTGCACGCATGGAGCGAGAAAATTCAATTTTGTCGGCTAGGCGAGAAAAAAAATACGCCTTATGTAAGCTAGATGGCGCGGTTGTAATAAAATGTCAAAGAAGTTATTTCTTTTTAATTAAATAAGAAACATAAAATCGTCAACACTGATTTAATAATTAAATTTACCCTATGTTCACTTTATTTTACTGAATTCAAGAATTTATTTAATTACCGCGAACCTATCTAATCTATCCATGTTTCGTGAATTTGAGTACTTTCCCAATATCACGTGACCAATTCAAACGTTTCAAACTGTCATAATCTCCCATTTACTTTCAATAACGAGCATCAGCTGTGTCAATACATTTAACACCAAGATGTACTTTGCACTGTAAGTAGAACACCGCTTATCCGCAATAAGTAGCATTTTAACATACGAGACTACCCCGAAGTTAAAATGTGTCCAGTGTGACTGTAAGGAATTTATAAAACACATTTTTTTAACATACAAGATCATCAAGGATTTAACGTGTGCTCATTTCGCGTTCGTCACCAAGCATAAATCCAGTCCTAAAAGCATCTAACATTTGACAAGACACATGATCCTGCCAAGGATTTAAAATGTAACCGGTGTGATTTTGTCCCTGAAAACACACATTCAATTTTAAAACACATTTGTTAATACACAAGACCAGTAATAATTTCAAATGCGCCTGGTATTAATTACAACCCCTTAAATCCCGTTATTTTCTAAGGAAATAATCACGCGCCAGTGAAATGCCGGAAATGTCAACTCAGTTCGCACATGATCGGTATTCTCCACTTGCACCTCTGCTCTGTTGCACCGTGACTCCCTTCGGTGACTCCGCACTGTGCAATCGCAAGGGCGCTAGAATTTGAATTTGCGTTGAACTGTATTATAAGGGAAAGAGGTAAATCTACGAGTAAAAAATATACTCGTGGGCCCACTTAGATTGCACCGTTTCGTAAAATTTTTTTCGCGTAATCAGCAGGAAACGTGGAAATAAAAAAAACAAACGAGTGCACGTTGGCGCGTAAAGCAAATTCAAATTCAAGCGCTTGCGGTCGGGCGTTGTTGAGGGATTAATTTCAAATGTAAGTGTATAGGATAAAAAATATTGTGTGCACCACGACACGAAAGTTGTTTTCCGGGCCTCATATCTTCCTTCGCCCCGGAAAACAACCACTTTCCCGCCTTGGTACACAAAGTACTATTATATGTTCACTGGTTTCACACCTTTCTTATGGGATTTTGATGCATTGGGCATTGAAAAGCCTAATGTGACGCATGACAGTAATGAAATGGCGATCTCTTCAGCAAAGATTCGACCTGTGTTTGAAGCCTCAGCAAAATGTATAAACAGTGTTTCACTTAAAGAATGTATTAAAACGGAAATCGTACCCACTCAACTAGAAGCTGCAGCTGTGCCTACTTATATATGTAGGATTGATGATGGTAGCCAAGCTAATCCTCAAATATTTATCAAAAGTCATAAATTTGGAAAAAATCTCCGAATGTTACCGTAGACCCTACAATTTATTGAAAAATTACGAAAGAAACCTTCTATAGGTGAACTTAAATTAAATGAAGAAGAGATTGCTGCAGCGGAAAAAAGGATAATGAATATATGGCAAAAAGAGCATGGGATCCCGATTTAAAGCGTCATGAAACCTTTACAGGTGATGATGGATTATTGCGAGTTAGGACAAAAATACTTTTTTCTCCAACCACCTGAATAAGACGTTATTTTGTGACAGTGTTCGGTACCTAAAATTGACGTTTTGCGGATTAATCGCTTTCACCATGGCAACTGTACAAAAAGTGGATACTTTTGGTCCTAGTACCAAAAAGAAATTGACCTTGAAAGTTGGCCAATTAAAAAATTACAATCACGGAGATATGTCACATTGACATCGTTTTACATTGCAGGTTGTAAGATATTTCTATACATACAAATCAAATATTTTTGCAGATTCAATGCAAATAATGATGTTACCTATACGTATGTACATGTACCTATTGAAAATGATTTACGCTCGCTATTTTTATTTAAACCATGTGTAACCGTAACGTAATTTACATATTCCGTGAACGTAATTTTAATACGTAGACAACCCGCCGTCGCGCGTAACGCCATCTACTTCAGACCCATTGCACTATTATCTGTCATTTTGAATTCAAAATTTGAAAAAGTTAATTGCAATTAATTTTAATTAAAAAACTGTATGGTAAGTTTTTTATTTCAATACAAAATATAACAATATTAATTGTGTATACAATAAAATGACTGAAACTGATAGCGACATGGATTGCACTCCGCCAGAGATTATAGAAACGGCAGAACATGCTACCTCAAGATTTGCTCCCTACAAAGTCGCGAGAGGTGAGAAGTAAGAGGTAAAAACGAATAGGTTATAAGTTAACCTAAAAACTAGAGTGGCATGACACGTGAGGACAAGAAAGCAGAGAAGTTCTTATACTATAGTAGTGAAACTGTAACTGAATCTAAATTGGAATATAATTTGAAGTAAAGGGGGTTGGAGAAAAAATTTTATGTTTTATTCGTACAAAAAATGCGTTTTCGGGACTCGGAAGGTTGCTGGACTCCGCTAACGCGTCGTCCAGCAACTATCTTCCTCGTCCCGAAAACTGACATTTTTTGTACTAATGAAACAAATAACTATTTCTTTTATCATAGTCCATGGCTACTCAGACTAAAAACTCGTGAAAACAGAATCTTTATAATTAATTTTTTCGCGTACAAGAAGAGGTAGATTAATCGTTTCACATGATTTAGATGCAGAATTTATATCTCTATAACTTATTTGAAGTATTTTTGCGTAAAATAATTAGGAAACGTTTGCGCAAAGAAAAAGTAATTTCCCATGTTAAACGCCTATGTTCCACTTTTCGATTTACACCCTGTACATAATACGGTTTAAAAATGTAACATAATAAGGTCGGATTAATATTAGCATTGAGATAGTTATAAATTCAATGATATTAGGTACCTATGTAATAGTACTTACATTGGTTTAAATTCTGTAGCGCATGGTGGTTTGTCAACGCACGTGCAATCAGCACAATATGCTACTTATACCAATGCTATCACAAGAACCAAAAGTATCTAAGAATGTTCTTTTTAAGCTGTAGTATCGCGATCGCTTTACTTAGTAACTAGTTGGATGTCCACCCTTTTATACTACTGCTTGTTCAAAAATTGTTCAATATTCGTTCCAAGTTATAATAACTGGTTAGTACAAACATTGACTTTACACACTATAGACAAACGGTGTAGGCTTATAGCTCAGTCGTATAGAGCGTTGAGGTATAAATCCGGAGGTCGGGTGTTCGAACCTGGTTTGAGGTGAATTTTTCATCTGTGGCAGAGATGGGAATTTCCTTAGATCAGTTTCGAGCATTCTGCCGGCTACTCCGAATTAGGTTTGCCTGCAGTTTTCCTAATTCGTAAGGTAAATACCGGAGTAGTATAGAACAACTTAAGACCTTCTGCGGGCACCTCTAAAAAAGCATTATGCGGGTCACTCTGTAATTGGGCGTAAGCCTGTTGAGGGCCTAGAACAAGAGGGACAATAAATAAATAAATAAATAAATAAAAAACGGCAACACAAATGGAGCTGTAAATGTTAGTATGGAGCTGGGCCACCAAATCGTCGCAGCGCCACTCTCGTTGTTATTACGTTATTAATAATTATTGTACCTACAAGTGCATAGGTATTGACATTGACAAGCGCGGATTAGTAAGAACGCAAATTTTGCATAAAGCTAAACCTCCATGGCATCAAGACCAATAGGAGTTTGTCATAAAGTTATACTACAAGTCTCTGGCAACACACAAATTTCTGGAGGCAAAATATCGTGTTGCCCGCAATATCTACCTTAAAAGAATGGATTTCGGCATCTAAATCCACTACAGGATATAATTCAGCATAGTTCGAACAAATTTAACTAAAAAGTTAGTATACTTTATCGTCAAGAAAGAGTGGGTGTTGTTTGCTTCGACGAAATGTTCAGAATCGCCATCATGTTCATCTTCTGCATTTTTTCAGTCGTCATTAGAAAACTCGATCTTGGACATTGAAGTTGATAACATTAGGTACATTACTGGAAGAGTGAGTTGATATACTTTGCGATCGAAAAGTTTAATTGCACACGATGTGAACAGGTTCTCAGAAAACCACATCAAACCTTAATGACGCCAAGGAACTATTAATTTTACACAAATCCTTTGAAATTTGGAAAAAAAACGCTATGCATCGGCCATATCTATTAAATTGTTGCTAAGAACTTTAAATTTTGTAAATGGTCTTTGTCATACTATTAAGAGCAGTTCAAACAAAAATGTACAGAATCAAAAATTAAAGGAATGAAACGTCATAAATTTGCTAGCGTTCATATGTTGTCCCATTTGACGTCATCTTTAGTACGTGCATTGCAATGTGTTTAATAAGTTGCCTATTGAGATGTCTGCTTTCAAATTTCAAACAAGAAGTTCCGTTACCGTATATTGAGACACCGTTTAAGCTACCGTTGCCAGATACCGAGCCACAATTCAATAGCGTTCCCATGAAAAAACAATAGGTTTATTATTCAACAATGTATTCAGTCTTCAATGTCAGCAATTATAACAATAGTAGTCTGTATAGGGAGAAAATGGTGGATAGATTTAGTTTTTGCCGAGTTAGCTTTTCGAGCTCCCACAGGTTCATTTTTGTCTTTGAGTTTGAGTTCACTTTGCTTTGGGTGATCAAGGGTGCTGCTCATTGTAACAGAAAGGTAATGTACTTAGTTGTAATTGATTTATATTGTAGATTATGTTGCCTTCAGCTAGTTGTAATGCAGGGTAAAGTGATTCTTAAATTTGGTGTAATTTGCTTTCATGTAAAAGTGGTTCCTGTTTGATTTGTTGAAGATTGGCCAGTTATCAATTTTCATGTGTTTGTTTTGAACCCATTTAGATTGATTAGCGACTTCAATTCTTTGTGTACGAATCAGCCTTTTTTGAGTGTAATTAACCGTTTCGCCCTTGCAGAGGTATATGCCGGAGTGATAAAGATACTTAGCGGCATGTATTTCGAACGACAACTTTAGTCTAAGGTTACCGTATCCAGGATCTTAGATACCTGCTAGATTGGAGGAGGTCTGGCTAATTAATGATGTTTATTTTATGCACTTTATGTAAGAGACTTCGGAATGTTTCTTTCACACATGAGAAAGGATTGAAGGTGCTTTTTAAATCTATTTGTGATGGCCATCCTTTAACTTATCAAGTTTGTATTGCATTAACGTGAGATTTCAATCTGTACAATTCAAGAATTACTTACTCGGATTATTATTCTTTGTATAACTATTGTAGCTGTGTTGTAAAATGTGTTTAGCGTTATCCAATGTTACCTCTCATTCTCCAGATTTTCCCTCTAGATTTCACCTCTGTGAACAGTGAGTCGGAATTTTCTTTAGCACGGTTCTTTTGTCCGATGAGTTCTAGGGGAACCTGGCACTTTTTGGCTTTAAATGTATTCTGTCTAAATTTGTAGGATGTCTTTCGGCCTTTTGATTCATTTTTTTACACTTTTGATCAGTTCTTTAATAAACTTTATTTGTGTTTCAATTTCAATTAAGCGTATTATTTGCGTTCCGACTTTCCGATAATTAGCATGGGTACGAGTGAGTGCAACCTGGCCTTCCACAACGTAGGTGTTCCGGACATTGTCGAGTGTGAGGTTTGTGTTACTACGCAGTTGTTCCGAGTTCGTGTTTTTCCCGCTTTCGTTAGCGCGGGAGCTGTCGACTTGGGTACATCACACTATTTAACGCAAATATTCGCGGCTGCCATTTTTCCCTATTTCTCCGTTTGTCTATAGTATATAAAGGGTACGTTCCACTTAACGCCCGCAACGACAACGACCGCTAGTAATGACGTCATATCTGACGTCGCGATTGCGACCATAATGACTGTGGTCGTTATGTGGAACGGCAGCCGAGCGTCGTGGTCGTTGCGGGCGTTAAGTGGAACGTACCCAAAGTCAATGGTACAAACTATACACATAGTTGTGAAACAGTGCTGTGCAAAATTACATCTTGATACTACTTTTCGCGGGCGTCCGGCATCATCAGACATTCCTGATTCCACTCTGTTATTCATTCTTCATTTTTGCATCAGTTCAATGGTACAGCGTTGGGGTATAAAGCCGGAGGTCGGGTCTTCGTACCTGGGCTGAGGTAATAATTTGTCATCTGTAACAGAGATGGGAATTTCCTTAGACCTGTTTCGAGCATTCTGCCGGCTACTCCGAATTAGGTTTTCCTGCAGTTTTCCTAGTTCGTAAGGTAACTACCGGAGTAGCATAGAACTAGAGCAACTTAAGAGTAAGACCTTCTGCAGAGGCACCTCTAAAGAGCATTATGTCGAAGCCACCGTAATATAGAAAGCCAGTACTCTGAATGTGTGACGTCACATCGGGTGGCTGAAACCATTAAATTTAGATATAGTTATAAATTCAATGATTTTACCTCTTGCTCACCGGATTCCAACCCCTTTTGTAAGTATTCGTGTTACTCAGTATCGTTTCTATTTCTTCATTGCATTTTAGGATCCGAGCGTTAATTTGCTACCACCAATATTATAGCACACAAAATATTATTGTTTCTACGTTTAAGGCCCACACCATCTCGTAAGTATCCTTTTCGTGATAGTTTTACTTTCTAATTTTGGGTCTTTGTTTTAGGGCTTTGTATTTTTTTCCTTCTTATTTGTTATACCTGTACCGTACTGCTTCAAACTCTTCGTCTTCAGTCGTCCGTCTTGAGTCTTCGTCGTCCTCTTCAGTCTTCTATCGATACCCTCACATTTCTTTTCCATTTGATCCCTTCTACCCTCCTCCCTATCCTTATTTTCCCCATACTTAGCCCCTGGCCTACTCACCGAATCTGCCGAACAACCGCTGGACGAGTTCAGGAGCCAGGAACAACAGCTAAGCCACTTCCAATTCGCCTTTATTTATTTATGATTGGCCGTTAAGTTTATTTATTAAAAAAAAACATTAATACATTAATTCAGTCATCTTACCATCCCTTTAATTAATTATTTTAGTCAAGTTTGTGTCTTACTGTGAGACGAGATCTCGTTCCGTGATTTTATTGCTTTATTTCCTGTTATCGTTCCACTGCCATTTCTCATTCACCATCATTCGCCCTACAATAAATAATATTCCTATTTTCTCCTTGTTATATTCGTCTTGCATTTCCAGATCACCAGGAGCAGGCTTTCTAGTTTTCCTGTACGGCTAAGTTTAACAAAAATTAGTGGCGCCTAAATTCTCCAAGCAGTTTTTTTCAGTTTCTTCGAACCACCCACACCACCGAGAGCAGCTGGAGCCGTAATGCTAGATTCTACCTTCCCTTCTAAATTTTCTTCGTCACATTACCTACTTACTTAACGGTGCGCAGGGGTTTTGTTAATTCGAATTTAAAATTCTCGCATATCGCCCGTGATAGTATTACAAGCATGTTACGCCGCTTATTATTCTACGTTTGCGACACGAGCGAGCTTGCGAGCGAGTGGAGCAAGATTATTCCATGTGAATAAGTAAAGGGTTATTTACGGCTTTATAGGTTATACGGTTATCATTTCCAATGTCTCCGATGGTTGCAAGGATTGCGAAATCTGTGAATATTTTTATATATGCTTTTGTATGCAATGTAATTTCCCTATGTTCGATTTAAAAAAAAACGCATCAATCTATGAGGTGTGCGCGGGTACATTCCCACCAGCAAAACGCGCAACTTGCGTGACTATGAACAGCAACGGTTTCTATAGTTTCTTATGATGAAGAGCACTCGGTAAGATTTTATTAAAGAAGTCATGTGAGGCCATAGCAACTTTAGGATAAATTTGCAGTTCAGTCACAGCGCGAGAAACCTGCTCCTATCGGCGCGAGATAGCGGAAAGCGAGAAACCTGCTTCCACTCTGTTTGTACAATAAGGAATCACCTAACAGATTTCGAAATTAAATTGGACGGCGGTATTTTTAAAAATTGACAGCTTTCAATTTTATCTACTACTCATTTGAACTACTCAATAGATTGATGTGTGATAAGGGAAATTCAATGAATAAAGGGGAAATTGCATTGCATGCAAACTCCTATGTTCGCATTTATAAAAAATTCCCTGTATATGTATAAAACACATGACAGACCGCTAGCTGATGCACTTGCACCGTGGGTACCTCAGTGGCACTGCGCAACCGCAAGCGCGCTGGAATTTGAATTTGCGTTGAAGGGACTATTTCAGTATTTCCCAAACTATTGGTAAATTTTTGTTACATGGGTCGGAGCCCAGTCAACTTTGGGAACCACTGGTCTAAAGCTGGATTCACATGAATACGAAATCCGACGATACGGTCATCCGAAATGCTTATGATTGGTCAATAGTTTGAAATGTCAAGCACATTTCAAATTATTGGCCAATCATAAGCATTTCGGATGATCGTATCGTCGGATTTCGTATTCATGTGAATCCAGCTTAATGTGTAAATAATAAATATAACCTGCAAACGTTAAATTGATCGATTTGATAGTACTGTAACAATTAATTACAAAGGGTTACAGCAATACTGAACGAATCGCAAAAACCAGACTACAGGCCACAGAAATGAAGCACTTGCAAGGGTAGGTAAGGGGAGTTACAAAACTCGATGGAATTCCTAGTAAGAAAATAAGTGAAAGCTCTAATAGACATCAATTAAAATGCTTATTTGGACCCCTTGGACAAATGGTAAACAGTCGGCTTGCGAAACACATATAGAACACCGGAATTCAAAATAAGAAAAAGGGAAGCCTAAAGACAACATGGGGTAAAGTAGCAAGAATACTTCATGATCAAGGCATAGAATGGGAGGAGGCTAAGAAGTTAACGCGAGATAGGAAAAAATGGAAAACAATAGTTTATAGTGACTTTAACTGGTAGAATATGTTAATTTATTTTCCCTACACCATAATGGTAGAAGGGTTTTGAAAACTAAATTGTATGGTGCATTGACCTTAATGTTGCCTACACTAAAACACTAAAATTAAATTATTACTGACTAAAGAGTTTGAGCCATAGACGGGACATTTAAGGAACTATTTTAATTCCAGACGTACTTGGAAATTCCATTAAGTCAGATTCGCAAAATTATTATTAATAAACTTAAGGTTTTATTACAAAAAGCATGTATTTATATCTATTTACAAATTTTAGATTAAACAATCCTCAAAAAATATGTTCATTATACTCATAGTTTTTAATATTAGCTATGCGGGTAACCATTCTTATTTTAATATCAAAGTAGGAAGTTATAAATAAACGGGTTGTTCTTAAATAGCATACAAGTTCAGTATCAGATTTTATAAAATCATCCGCGTAGCAAAAACTTGTCAAACGTCATTTACATTGTAGACACATTCATACTAACTACGTTCATTTTACACTTTGCGATTATCTGTTTGCAACAACAGGCGTGTTTGGAGGTAGCAAATGATAGGAAAGCCACCACGACAATGCAGGCTGACTAATGATAATTAAAAGAAGAAAATATAGGCGCCTTTTATTTCTAGGCGCAGGGGCTTCCCCATAATATTGGACCTGTTTCTCTTGTAAAATTGGCCCTGTAAGTGATCGTATCAAAAAGAACATCAATGCTAGATTAACGTAAAGAAAGAGAGCATAATATCCATTATGACCACTTACTAAACTAATTAAAATAATAGCTATTATCCCTACATATTTATAACCGCTGTATGCCAATAAGTCCATCGTATGTAACCCTATTTGTAAATTAATAATGTACCGCGTGCAACTGTACACAACCAACTCGACAATGCACCAAGCCAGGGCGGATGATGCTTGCATGACGATTTGTTCAGGTGTAAATCGTTGTTGCATCCCTAAAAGAAAATGCAATTTATACATAAAAACAATCCAAAATCTTACCTAGCATTAAACCTGTGACTAAAATATATGTAAAATACGCCATGGTGGGTATATACAAATCGGGTGCATTTACTTCAAACCTAGGTTGAATAGGATCACCACCCTGCTCATATTTGACAGACCAATCCTGAATGGTTAGACAATTAGTAAGTACAAAATCAGGATAATTTGACTTACCGAATGCATAAATGGGAAGAACAATAGACCTAACTTCGAAATCACATACTTTGTGTCAACAGCAAAATAATATTTTAGTCTAGATACTGCCACATACTGTTCCAGTCCTTGTTTTACCATATCCTTACCGGTATTGGCTAACTAAACAGAAAAGAATAAGTAGATGAGCAAGCGCATAAACCCACTTTGTCAGTGCGCAACACAGTAGGTAGTGGTCTGTACTGCCTGTGACGTCATTTGACCTATCGATGTGGCGCAGAAATAACCAACCGTACATGTACTAAGTGAACGAATAGGCATCATATGCGAAAGGGTCAAGTGACGTCACATTGAAAGCTTTTCAATTACATAGACCCATAGATATACAATATAACCTCAAACATGATACATCAGTTAATACAAGCAATGCGCGAACTGAAGTTTGCAGTGATCTACTAAAGCAGGTTTTTGTTATTCTATAGGGAACCATTTTTGTTGACTTTTGGTTAAAATCAGCTCATGAGTTTTATGTATAATAAAGGTGTGGTATGAAACCCTTGTTCGGGTCAAGATAACTGTCACGAGACTGTAGTTGAAACTGTACAGAGGAAATTTCTTAAGTTCTTTCCTTTCAAGATTGACGGTATTTATCCCTCCATTAGCTATTACCACAAGTTACTCCTCATAAGGTTCAATGTCAATAGCTTAGATTTTATAAGAAAGCTCAATAGTGTAGTAATAGGCAGGTTCTGCATTTTTTTTAAACTGAAATTGAGAAATTTTATTATTACAAAACGATTAGAAAGAAATTGGGTGCAAAATATTGATATTTACGTCCGCTGTAAGCACTTTAAAATCAAGGGTCGCCGCGAAGCAAGAAAACGTACCTGTGCGCGAGACTACCCCGCGTGACGTCAGTAGCCAGAAACATTTGGATACACGAGACGAAATGGGCTGTAGCCGAGGGCGCATAGGGTCATTTCTTTTGGACTACCAGTTACGGTAAAGTTTAGGGCAACTTAATTTTTTCAAGTAAAATCCTTGAATATTCGTATTCTACATCGGAAAATAATAAACTTTCATGGGAAACGTTTTTGGCTAAACTTATTATTTTTCTAAAAGCGCTATTTTTGGATTGAGCTAGGAAGCTGTTCTGTCAAGAAATTGGCAACTGGTTATTATTAAACATAAGAGTGGAGTAGTGTCTCTAGTTTGGTTATGTTATATCTATAGTTAGACCAGATAAACAAGCAGATATTTAAATTTGTGGTCTCTATGTTTCTTGCTAAACAAAACAAACCCTTGTAAATACTCAACATTTTTCCTCCAAAACTGTCCAAACCTCCAAAAAAAAGGGTTTCTTTTATAATTCTTGTTACGAAGGACATATGAATGTCCAGTTTTCTGTGTAAGTAAATTTGCCTTAAACCTCAAGCAACTATACAGATAAAAAAAATTGCGCATGCGCCAGAGATGGGAATAATTAGTATTTAAGTTCCTTGAAAATATCTAAGTTACTTAAATGTAACTTAGTTACTTGTAACTAGTTCTTTTTTTAAATAACTTAAAAGTATCTTGAAACTAGTTACTTTTACAAAGTAACTTGTAACTGTTACTTTAGGAAAGTAACTATAGTTACAAAAAGTAACTTGAGTTACAAAACGTAGTTATGTGGCACGTGACTAGTGAGTTGAGTGACTGTACTGACTGGATATCACATGTTACCTGAAAGAAGAAAATCTTATATGGAGTGCTGTTCAGCATATTTTTATATTTCGTTTGCAACATTTATCGATTCGCCAAGAAGAAACAACCTTTCAGACAGAAATTTCGAAAATTTAGTGTTATTAAAGACAAACGGATATAGCGCTTGTTTCTCCAAGATAAATATTTTTTTCTTTTTACTATAGAAATATTCTGTGATTTTGTATTTTTTAGAATAAAGAAATTGTTATATGTCCTTTTCATTTATACAAAATGTAACTTAGAAGGAACTTAGAAGAAACTTAAAAGTAAGTTAATTTATTTAGAAACTTAGATACTTTTATATGTAAAGTAGCTTTTTACAAGTAACTTAGAGACTTTCTTAAAAGTAACTAGTAACTTGTAACTAGTTCCATTTTACAAGTAACTATCCCAGCGCTGGCATGCGCCACCCAACTGTTCTATTTGCGCAATCCCAATTTTTTATTTGGTGAGATTTAATAGTATATTGCATAATAAGTGTGCTAAGAAGCCTATTTCGCACGAGTATTTTGCGACACGAGCGAGCGCAGCGAGCGAGTGTTGTAATAAATAAAATTATGTATGTATGCACCTCGAATAAAAGTCAAACTAATGCCAAATCAAAAAATTTGTTTTGCGCATGCGCAGTCGATTTTTTATTGATATTATTTTTATGTTAATATGTTACTTATTTAATATGAAATTTTGTATGTAGGCAACTTGAGTAAAGGTGAAACTAATGCTGGTTCAAAAAATTTGTTTCACAAGCTATGCTGATCTAGTGGGACAGAATCAACCCCTTAAGGTGTGTTGTAAAAATGATGGATGTGTGAAAATCTCAAGGATCGTTCGGTATTGAGTTGTATCGGATTTTTTGGATTGTTAAGAAAAAAACTGAAACTAATTTTAAGATTTCTTATTTTACTCGTCGCCCGCCTGCATCAAAGAATTATGTCAGGCGTTAATAAAAATTTGTGTAGTTGATTCTTTGGAATTTTTGGAAGTTGACCAAGGCCACCAAGTGTCTCACATTGAAAAATGTTAAGTCAATATTAGAATTTTTCTTTTAGCAGATGTCGGATGGGTACGACCAGAGCTGGGATAGTTACTTGTAAAATGGAACTAATTACAAGTTACTAGTTACTTTTTAGAAAGTATCTAAGTTACTTGTAAAAAGTTACTTTTCATATAAAAGTAACTAAGTTTCTAAATAAATTAAGTTATTTTTAAAAAGTAACTTAGTTTCTTCTAAGTTCCTCCTAAGTTACATTTTGTATAAATGAAAAGGACACATAACAATTTCTTTATTCTCAAAAATACAAAATAACAGAATAATAAAAATGCCAGTAGAAAAAAATATTTATCTTGGAGAGAAACAAGCGCTATAGCCGTTTGTCTCTAATAACACTACATTTTCGAAATTTCTGTCTGAAAGGTGGTTTCTTCTTGGCGAATCGATAAATGTTACAAACGTGAAACGAAAACATGCTGAACAGCACTCCATATAAAAGTGTTTCTTCTTTCAGGTAACATGTGATATCCAGTCAGTAGTCACTCAACTCACTAGTCACGTGCCACGTAACTACGTTTTGTAACTCAAGTTACTTTTTGTAGCTAAAGTTACTTTTTGTAACTATAGTTACTTTCCTAAAGTAACAGTTACAAGTTACTTCGTAAAAGTAACTAGTTCCAAGATACTTTTAAGTTATTTAAAAAAAGAACTAGTTACAAGTAACTAAGTTACATTGAAGTAACTTAGATACTTTCATGGAACTTAAATACTAATTACTCCCAGCTCTGGGTACGACAACAGAATATAAAGTTCTAAGTTTCTATTTTAATTTGCTTTGACCTAACTGGACTGGTGTTTTGTGCAACAGCAATAGAAATCCCAAATTTGATCAAAATCTATCGAGCAGTTGTCTTGGAAAATTGCCAACATACAATTGTACGCACACATAGAAAAAAATTGTTTTCTTTAAAAGTTACTTAATATGACCTAAAATGTTGACATGTGATGAAATTTTGACATGTCCAAAAAACGGCGATCGCAATAGCCACCTAGCTCAAGCTAGTCGACGCATTTGAAAAAGTTGAATTACTCATTAACCTCATGAGCACATTTTAAATTATTAGTACAAAAGGAGCACAAAATTATGAGATACTTGGAACTTAATTCCTTTCAAGTCGACACTACAACTTCACAGATCCTTGTAAAGAAAGATCTCATTTGGCTCTCACTGATCTGTTGTGTTCAAAATTAGAGGAGTTCAACAAACTGTGAAACACTGTCGACATAATATTTAACCAAAAATCTACAACTGGTGTGTTAGTGCTGAGATTTTGTCTTGCCACAAGAAAGTGTAAAACAGATAGCAAATGGCAACAAAAAGAAAGAATTTAATTCGTAAAAAATCAAAGGATTAATACCCTTACCTGCTGACTATATTGAAATGCCATATCCTGAACAATTGGTTGCGCAAAAACATTTCCCATTTGTGTGGAAGGTGTATTAGCCACATATGGATTGAATTGAACTCCCACCATATTAGGATTCTGGGGGTTGAACTGTGGTTGTGTTGGTGTGGCATATTGTTGTTGCACTTGGGGATTACCGTAATCTAAACATTTTTAACATGAATTAAAAGATATTGCAATGTATTTAAAATAATTAATTCATGTTAAGAGTCTTCTGTACCCACTGCACCCAATGTAAATTTCCATAAGAGCGCCCGCCATAAAAACTCTATTTGTTTTTACAAAAACAATTTTTGTTAAGAACTATTTTATAAATTTAGACCTTTATCCACAAAATGTTCGGATTATTTTTTTTTTTTAAGTTTATAGCAACTGAATACAGATTGTTTAAAGATTAGATGTTTCGCACCGATTATTGCGCTAATCTGTTTTATTTTTTTACTCTCGATCAAGACGATTTATGGAAAAAGTAAACCGACAGTTTTTTAGATAAGTTACTTCTAAACATGACCCCAAAAAATGAAATCATAATGTTTGTAAATAAAGTCTGCATCTTGGCGGGCGTTAAATCAACAATTTGAGTGTAACAAGTGGCGCCGCTGCACAGTGTCGGTGGGAACTAACCAAGGACCAAGACAGGAGTTGACAAAGCAAGAATATAATCTTATCTCTTGCAGCTATAATCATCTATACAGTATAATGTAAAAAAGTTGCGCTTAGGTAAAGAAGACTCTTAATCATTTGAATTCACAAGTAATTGAGCTACTATCAATCCAATGACAAGATAGACTAAAGACAGCTAAAATTTGAGCTTAAATAACATCGAGAAATTGAGACCTTTACCATTTCGATTTCTAGATTTGTTGTCATTTATTATGAAGCATTTGTTTTTAATTGATTAGGTCACTATGACATGTGATATACCATTGGAAAGAGAATTTAGTACAATTTGAGAATATGAAATTTGGTAGATTTCATTAGTTTTCTTGGCTATTACAGATAATACAAAATTGAATGTAGAATTTTTCTTTTATAACATTTTGTCATATCTCTGACAGTAACCGGACATCCACTGGAACAGCTAAATTCAAACGCACTGGATCGTACTTATCAAAATTCACTGAAAAGCACATAGTAAAAAAAAACTGGAAATTCATGAGAGAAATCCGGCAGTTGTCCTATTTTATGTCGGACTATCAAGATTGTACTGTACACATAGACGAACATACCTACAAAATTACCTATTGGAGTTGGTTCATATGAATAACCAGCAGGAGCTAATGGTGTGCTGTTGGGTTGGTATGCTGCAGGTGGCTGCTGGGGGTAAGGGTTGTAACCCATTGCATTTACATCGCTAACCCTCTTAACTTTACGTACAGACGCTGAAAAACCGCAAATTACATTCCAACAAATGACTCTCACCCCCATAATTAACTTACTCGGTCTTGCCCCTGTATTGGCGTTAAAATTCATCTTTAACTGACGTGATCTTCTTAATACACAAACTCTTTTATAATTATTTCATATTTTAACTTCTTTTTGTATTTCCGACACGTCACTACGAATTTAAAGTTCAGTATTTTTAAAGAAAAGTTGAATGTGGTCAACAGTACGTGTAAAAGGTTTGAATCGTTGATAAATGCGGCGTTGCCTAATTTACAGATTAGCAGGGGCGACTCGGCCGTATTACTGATAAGGAGTTGTGTCATCTCCTGGCCCACTATTATTTCAACGTTAGACGTATGTTTATTTTCGTGCATCTTGGGAACACTACATTTACATAAAAATACGTTTAAATCGATTTTAAATTTTTTATAGTGTTTACTACACATTTATTTTAAGGTTAATTGGGAGTTCTATTAAATTGAGGTAATTTGTATGGAATAGAACCCTGTTTACCCTAAGTTGCTTCACCTTCCCCGGTACCAGCTAAGTAACGCCAAAGACCCGATGTACGTAGGCTCCCCTACAAGTCCAATGTTGTCCAGGTAACAATCGAACATCCAGTGCTCCGTAAGCCCCACGTTGATCTTCCTAATTTGGCATCTATTCAGTTTTAGAAGCTCTAACAGACTCAGATTTGCCAAGGGGCCCTGATAAGGGTGCCATATGGACTATCAGAGCCCAGTTACTCATTACCACTGAGTCATCTGCTCGCCCGGTTTTTAATCCTGGCCCTGACAACGAAGGAGGCAATTCCTAGGGTATGTTCGGGCCCGACAAAAATCCCTTACACAAGTCAACCCGCCCGCCCTTTCGTTGTCACATATTCCGCAGTGCGCTGTCACCGGGATCACGCTTACATCTCTGCGCTTACCCTATTAGCAATGCTATTAGACTCACTCCTAATCTAGCTAGAGTTCGTCTGTAGTCAAGAGCCGTAACTAATGGAAACCTGTTGGTTGAAAGATCCCTCAGCGCCGCCTGACTGTCACTGCATATCTATACAGGGTGGTGCTTAGCGCAACGCAGCATAGGGATTTCAATGGTAATTTTTTTATAGTCAATTACTAGCTCCCCTAATTATTTTAGCGCAAAAGTCTAAAAACGTTTTTTAGAGAAAAAAATACTGCATCTGTTCATACTTTTAGTTATAATTTTCCATTTTTCAAAACCGTAGAAATCGACAAAATAAAAAATTACATTTTTATAAATCAGTGATGCTTTGGAATCTTTTAACAAACTACAAGGGCATCGCATCTAAGTTATCGTTGTTTGACGTCCAACGATTTTTATATTAAATTCTGTTTCAACTAACCGACGCAATAAAAGGCATCTTAGGGTAATGTTTTTTTAGAGAATGTATGCTGCATTTGCATCAGATCAGAGTATTTGTTTATCATTTTCCGGAATCAGAGTACTTACCTACATAATCGAAGAAAAAAAACTGATTTGAAGAAGATTTGTTCCTAAACTTATATTCGGATTTTCCACTACTGCAACCAAAACGCTGAATGTATTGTCGTTTTCCTGATGGTTTTGACGGACATTTTAAACGTTATTGCACTTGCAGTTATTTAAGTAATTTATAAACAAGTATAAATTTAATACCTATAGGTAGGTACGTCAAAGGCAAAAATGAAACATGATCGCTGTATTTTTAGGTAATTCCAAGGCATATTTGATTTATTGTAAAATGAACCTTTTTATTTTGTCGATTTCTACGATTTTGAAAAACGGAAAATTATAAGTAATAGTATGAACAGATGCAGTATTTTTCTCTCTAAAAAAACGTATTTACACTTTTGCTCTAAAATAATTAGGGGAGCTAGTAATTGACTATAAAGAAATTACCATTAAAATCCCTATGCTGCGTCGCGCTAGGCACCACCCAGTATATGCTTATTACAGTAACCTCTACGGAGGTTCTCTGGATGGATTCTGGGTATTTGTGATCAAAGTGGTCATCGGGTGTATGACAGCCAGTATATATTCTTTCAAACTTTGAAGGCGCCTGGCAAAGTGTAAGGCCCCACTAAGTGGACTCTGGTATACTTATTTTTCGGCTCGAGAAATATTAAATTTATTTTTAGTAATACAAATTTCAAAGTGCCTGAAGATCATTTTTTGAAAAAAAATTCGTATCTTTAAAAATATAAAAGGTTGATCTAGCCCCGCTTCACCCCAGCCAGGTCTGCATTTCTGTGTTTCGGTATTATTGGAGAAGTATTGGACAAGTTTTCGGCGTGCCTCAAATACCTACCCAAAAATGTATACCAGCTTTCGGACTATAGATAGGTAACCTAAGAAAGAATAATCTGAAATAAGTTACAAAAATCAACCCGTTCATTCTAAAAATAAAAAAATCTTACGACGATGCACAATTGCACACACTTTTGAGAGCTGGCAACCCCGAAATTTTTAGGAGTGGAAAGCTATCTCCATAAATGTTTGTTGTTTTTTTGTGTTATTGAATTCAAGTATAGTTATCTTTGCATTTTTTTATAATGCATAGGTATGTGGTTTGTATGCAGCATTTTTGGTGTAATGTTATGGTCCCAGAATTATATTTCTGTACATTCTTTTAAACATGTCGAAATGATCGAATTCTTTGATGTGTGTATGCGTACTGACTTGTTGTTTGTAAACGAACATTTTCGCCTTATAGAGACGGTCACGGGGGTGGTAAATGAGTTACGGCACTCAATACCGAGGCTGATCTCGACAATCAACTGTAGGAACAAGGAGCGAGTTACCTTTTTGGGGGGCGAGATTCTTCTAATAAAAACTCTTCGGTTTAGCATCTATGAGTAGCGATTCATCGATTTTATTGCACCAAAGGTGAGTCACATCCTGTGTATTTCACCCTTGGAAGAATGGTATTTTTTAAAAGATGCTTAGCTTATGTAACATTTCGACGCCACTGGTTTTTCTCAAATTAGACAAGTTTCAAACCAAACACGTATTTCAAATTGTCATGTAGTCATGCAGTCATGCTTCAATTGCTATTGCTTCAGAAAAAAAATTACAATTAACCTAACCTCTCTACCATTAGTAATAAACATATGAGAATGATTATTTCCAATAATTTCTGAACAATATAAGCAAAAATGAAAAAGTTGGCTGGCTCATTTCGTTACACGCAGTGGGATCCTTGGCTTATAATTGCTCAAATAATATCAGTTCAATGCATTTTGTACTTTACACTAGGATTAATTTTGGCTATGTTGGGACAATTAGTGGGAGACAATAGAAACTTAGATCATATTTTTGAATACCATGTAAGTATCCTTGTGACGACATGCTGACTTTACGTATTATTCGTAGGAAATTCACGTAAGGGACTTTGGTGGAAAAATCGTTATTTCGTCTTTCGTTGTTAACTCTTTGATAGGGTAAGGAAGTGATGTAACCATTTCAAATGCTTTTACTGTGGTGTATAATTGTAGGGCCGTTGTGTTATGGTTAGTTGTAGAACGTACAAAACAATGTTTGGATTTTAGTTGTACATGGCATATTATTCACCTGTTAATATGTTGGTTTTATAATGGACAATTTCCTACAACTTTCTCATGGTGGGCTTTGAATTTAGCCTGTGTGACGCTCATGTGTGTAGGTGGTGAATTTTTATGCTTAAAATCGGAACTGCAGGCCATTCCTTTAAGTTTAGGACCCAAAACCGATTTGTAGTGCTTCTTTCAAACATAAAACGATAAATAATGTGATAGATTTTAAATTTTGTTGTAATTTAATAATAAGTTTAAAAGATGTGTTGGTGTGAGAATGCATAAAATTATTTATGGTGTGTATGATTAAATTAAATTTATTTTTATTACTATGCACATTAATTTTTAATGGTTTAAGTATCAGAAAACTGGACTGTTGCAGATGCATCGCTTGCTAAGAATATCAAAGGTCATCACTCCCATGCGTCGTCTCATTAATGTTGCATTATGCTTGTGTCCAGTGTTATATTTTTCTTTCTTAATTACTCTGTATGAAACGGTACTATCCTTTTGGACGGTTTTTTTTCAAATGACATCTGGTGTTGCATGAAGACAGTCTTATTATTGTTAAGCCCTTGTAACGGGTGATCAAAAATGAGTTGCTGTCGAGTCGCCTTTGGAAGTTCAAGTTAAATACGAATTCCCATGTAAACAAAAATTCCAAAGGTGACTCGAAAGCAACTCATATTTGATCGCATTGTATATGAATATTTCTCTGTGGGTGTTTCTATACAGGGTTGCTATTAAATAGATTGAACCATAGCAATCACACTGCTCGAAATATACCGGGTGATTCATTAGAAGTGATGACAGTTTGAATTTCCCGCAAATCAAAAAAATTGTGAAGTTGGTACTAACTGAAGATTGCAGTGGTGTATCATCATGCTTTCAGTAAATCGTTTACTTATTTATAATCTACAAATACTGCTTCTGTTTTACCACAAATTATAAACTAACACTACACACAGTCACGTTTCTTACATATTTTAGTGCATCAACTCTAAAAATTATTCAAAATGGAAAAAGTAATAAACCGCAAATGGCCCACAACAATTAACGGCGACACTGGTTTCTTAAATGACAGTCATGACAGAACAAAATTACCTACTGACGAAATTCAAACCATCAATTTAATAATGCAAAAAACACTAAAACCTTACGCGCGAAATTCTATCGATCATCACTTCTAATGAATCACCCGGTAGTTATAAAAATACCGTTTCTATAGTTAATTATTTTGCATATTTTGAGATAGTTTTTTATTATACACTGTGTCCAGGATAAGGATGTCTATCATGCGGATCTCTGTCACCATAGAAGATACGATGGTCAAATTAGAGAAAAGATGTGCAATTAAAGAGTTAAAACCAGAAAAACCTAAATTTCCCGATTTCGTTTTTATTTTTTTCTGCTATTTGCTATTTGAACAGATCTAGAAAAATCTCGAGAAATAAGTACCAAAAACACTTTTCATTGCCACTTTTTGAACTCTACAAGACAAGAGATTTTCAATACAATTTCGAAGAAAACATCATCAACTTTAGTTTTTTATATAGCCCGCAAAAAAAAAGGACACACTGTATTAAGTAGCATATTTTATTACGAATACAACGATGTACCACACAAAAAAAAAAATAAGAGTTGGCAACTCCGTGGGATTCAACAGGATGGTGCTTCTGCATACAACGTCCTAATCATTCGAGAATATACCTATCGGACAAATTTTCTATTTTTCAGGAAATCGTCAAATTTCGGTTTTTCTGGCATATCTTCGGAAGTAATCGGAAATTTGTTGTTTTCTTTAAGGCATGATAACAATGCTTAAATTCCTCTTCTTTTGAGATCACTATATTCACTCACGTGAGTCGGATGGTGTTTACTGCGCGTCATTAAATTACCTACTGTAATTGTACCAACTTAAATGTGCGAGATGGGATTTCCAAATTTATACTTCTAATTCACCCCCATTGTCCCTTGAAATTTCTCAGGTTGGCAAAAGGTAGCTTTTTAATGATTGTTTTAAATTAACGTAGGAATTCAAAATCATCTCATATATTTACTTAACGGGACTGAAACTCTAAAATATTAATTCGCCCTCGTAATTCTAAATGACATAAGAGCCTTAATTCCGACGCAACAAAGATAATTGAAATATCTTGATGGGAACGGTTGCAAACGGCGAATTAATTACAGCTTTTGTTTACGGTAACGGCGGCTGAAACACAACTTTAGAAATTAAATCAATTACATTTACCTTCCAATCTCAACTCCTAGAAGTAACATAAATACTTTCGGCATGACACTATCGTAACGAAGCGCCTCCAGATACCGGGTGGTCTTGAAAGCATGTAAACTTCAAGGCGGAAAGAAGCGTGCTTCATTATTACACTCAACCTTACAGGAAGAAGTGTACGGAAAAAACGCAAAACCCGTATACAGCAATAGTCTAAAAGTCTTCGACTTTTAATTGTTTTAGTGCAGTTACCCGAACAGGGTTAGTTAAGTATTTATTTATGTACGTACTCATGAGGGAGGTGATTATCTAGTGTGTATTGCCCAGTATGATTCTATTAACTATTTATACCGTGGAGGAAGCATGAAGTAATCAACTTTAACTTGAATACTGATTGCATTTTCATCAGCATTTTTTCGTGCAAAGAATCGGAAGTGTATGAGGTACTTCTCCCGCGCGGTATAAATGGTTAGTCGACTCATACAGGGCAAGATCACAACTGATCATATACTTTCACACGAATACCTAAATATACTTAATAAAATAATATAAAAGCATAACCACCTGCACATTATAAACAAAAACATGATAAGGGTACAAAACAAAAGCTTGAGCAAGGCATGCTTCAATAAACAAGACATCAAAATCTAATGCAAAATATAAATAAAAATAGGGGTTTACAGTATAGTTGAATTTAGTAGTTCTAATTTAATAAGCGTATGCCGGAAACCATAAAACAATTTTTTGGACAATAAAAGTTTATTTAAAAATATAGTGGCTGATTAGAAAAAAAATAATGAAAATGTACTGTATCAGTGGTTTATTATTCAAACGAGGGGGATTTACGATAATTCAACCAGGTTGGTAGATTTTGCTATGGATACAATAAATTATTGCTACAATTGTTTCTATAGTTATTTCTTCAATTTTGAATTGAATTACTGAGATGATATACCTGTAGGGTATAATCAACAATTTTTTTCACTTTTCGAGAAAAAGTCATTCTTTGTAGACTTCTGCTTGTTCCAAAATAAATTGAAAAAACCTGCTTGGCAACATCAACATTTTATCCAAATATTGACAGATAAAATCAAGCAAGCACGTAGTCCCATAGACGAGATAAATTCTCTGCTTTAAAATCAATATTCCAGACACTTCTGAACAGTATACAAGATCTGCATGGAATGTATCCACAATGTTATAATTATAATACATTTGTCAATATTCAATATATAAGGTTTACCGGTGTATTTCTGTCAATTTTAGTTCAAATTTTGATGTTATAAGACAACTTTTTTTCAATCGATTCGAAAACCTCACGTTTTAAAGGAAAACTAAATGGTACAATTAGAGTTTTGGAACACGCACGACTTTTTATAAAGAATGCCTTTTTCTCGAAAAATGATTGATTATAGGGACGTACTGCATCTGCATGCATCTCACTATTGCCCATTTAGTATAAAAACAGTCACGCCAATCATCGCAGGTAGCCGCCCACTGCAAAATCGGTCTATCTAGCTCATGCGAAGAAAAGACATCAGTTTTGTAGTGGGCGGCTACCTGCGACTGTTTTTGTACTAGACGACTATAGGTCAAAATAAAATACTATTCTTCTACGAATTCTATCTGTCGGTGCTCATTTTTCCAGGCCGATCCATAGCTACATAAATGAATTAGAACTATTAAGAATTGAAATATCGCCAAAATGAAATAAAATAAACCACCTCCTTTGATTATACCAAAACTTAAAAAATCGGATACAATAACCCGACAAATAATAAGACAATGGCATTGGAAATGTAGTTATAAACTACGCGAAATATCTGGACACACACTCTAACTTCGCCCCTGCAAAATAAAGTTTTCTAAATAGCTTCGTGGAAACAGACAAAGCGCAACATTTTATCTTCATGCTGATCATGACAGCTGTTCTATTGAAACGCGTCCGATAGTTTAATATCTTATTGACGTTTATTGGTGTTTTTGTTTTACTTTTTGTAACTTCAACGGACACAGCAGTTCCAGAGCTTCCAATGATTTATGAGTTAATTAAAGCAATACTTTATTTTAAACAATACATGTACACTTTATAACAAAGAAATAAATATCAAGTATCGATATCACTTTGGTGTTCATTTGCCTGTCACATTATATCCACAGTATTCTACATCATAATTGCTATTGACATGTGAACGCAATAACGCATAACAATTTACGCTTAAAAACTTATCTTAATTCTACTACAGAAAGTAAATAAATACCCTAAACACAGATATCACCGAGACAGACTACCATAGAGAGCACATTTACAGCTTTACAATCATTTTCCTGGTATAATAACTGGAAGGAATACTTTCGATGTTAAATGCAACAATTTCCTTCATTAATTTTAATTTCAGAGATTAATGAGCGTCGTACAATATATACGTATGTTTCTGATGAGAATATAAGTTGGGTGAATCATTACTCAAAGTGCAACTGATTAATTAATTTAATCGTTATGAGTACACAAATGTGTATGATGATTTTGAAATAATAGTTACATTCACTTATCACTAATACCACAACAAATTCTGCAAGGCAAAGCAAAAACACGGAGATCTGCAATTACCATAACCATTGATTTGCACAATCATTTAATTGAAAATTGACATAACTTTGTACTTGCATCTACCTATATCTACTACTTTTTACATACAATTAACTAAGCATGTTTGCTCTACTAGCAAGTCTATGCGAAGGCAGGCACTCTAAAAAGAACGAACCATTTTAGCACACAAAAGTATTACGTCTTTGATATGGTAAATTATAAGTAATCACAGATATAAAGCACTTTTTTAGTTCAATTCAAAAATTTAACTACTTACTAATTACAATTACGCTCCGACCGTTCATCAAAGATCTCCTAGCTATTTAATTATTTCTTAGCCTTGGATATAGTTTACCAATTATGAATATTTTTATATTGTAAGATTTGTATATAGAATCAACAGAATATGGCTATTTCTTCATATCTTTGTATATATACAATATAAGTACCAAAATACGTGAATCATGTTTTAAAAAATATGTGCTGATAATATTAACATATCTTTATATGTACTTAGTCAAATTAAATATGGTGTGCGTTTAATTGAAGCACGTAATACACTGGGAAATGTTTACTTAAATGTAAATGGAAGATGGGAACCAAAGTGAATTTTTGAGAACTATAAGCTAATTGCATACTCTCATGGTAAAGAGAGTAATCAAGTCAATGTACCCTTGCCATGCATATATTTTCCGTTTTGGAAAAATGTGCAATAATTTATAAAAGTAACAGATATATATATCTGGATATTTTAAAACACAGATACAGAGAATTATCTATAAATAGGTGTAGGTTAGTTTTTATAAATTATTTATGAATAAGCAAGGTTATTAAATAACTATATTCAATGGTAAGGTATCATCACATGCATATTGTTATATTTTATCCGTTTATGCAAAACCAGAAATAATGAAGGGAGTGTCAATAATTTATGAAAATAACATTGTGAATTTCGAACCATCATGTGCATTACACACAGAGGGGCCCAGACTGCTAACAACAAAATGGTAGGTAGATGAATTGTTTTCGAATTGGAAATGGTTGGTTCTTCTGTTTGTCGAATATGGGTACGATTTTGAGCATGTTCACGTGTTGATTATTTACTATAATAGGTTGTCAAATGTGTCGAGGTAAAAGTGAACGCATATCTTAGGTTATCTAGATTCTAGAACATGAGTTACAACCTTGGAATATACTTTGCAGTTTTGCACAACCTTTGACTTCCTTATCTAAGACACTAAATCAAATCCTTAAAACCCTCCTTGAACTCATTTCACAAATTTGCCTCTTACGCTACCATCAGAAAAATAAATCTTAATATTGAAACTTTGCAAATTGAGAAACGTTGCGCAATCAATATAGAAAAAACAATGAGTATTATTAGCTGGCACTAAATTCAAATTAATTTTCTTTCCTATCTTTTACATGTTACTGACAAAGTAAGGACAATTTTGCTACACTAATAGACTTCATGCCTACTAAACTACCACTTATTCGAATTAATTCTGTGGTGAACATTCATCTACCTCTTGTATTACTGAATCTTCCTCAATTCTTTGTCGCTGGATTAATAACTCTTGTCTTTTCTGTAAAATTTCCATTACACTACACATCTAACTTCGTAAATGAGAATGTTTACCTCATCGTTATTTATAACAATAATTCTGTGATCAATTTTTGGCGTTAACTGGCAAGATTCATACTCAAGATCGTCTAAGGATGCCCTTCGCGTTAAACGCGGTCCAGAGTGGTGGCTGGTTTGTGGTACTGTTGGAGATTCTATTGTACTAGCGCGACGTAGGGGTGGTGGACCATCTAATTCACTTCCATCTAACATTTTTACTAAACTGTGTCTGTAAAAAAATAGGGTATGGTTTTGTGTTAAAATGGCGAAGAATTACCTTCTAGAAAGAGTAACCAATGATTGCCTATGTTTTGATTGTTTCCGTGTTTTACCCAAGCGCATATTGATTGCTTGAAAGTGATTCTGCACAGTCAAACCTAATTCAGGGCATTCTTCTTCACTAACCTGTAAATAAATATACTGAGCATAGAGCAATCAAATTCTTTTTCCTAACACAATTGGTACATAACCCATACTTAATTATTACATCTGTTGGGTGGTTACATTTTAGGCACTCAGAAAGTGTATGATTATGCCTTGAGAATCAAGCTGTTGTGGATATAGCTGTCCATTCATATTTCGGTACTTATGTATATGATGGCTGATAATAATAATAATATTTAATAAATATCTCATAGAAAAGCTTTCCAATTACAGGATAAACTTAAACTAATAATTAAGCTAATGTTACTTATAAGTTATAACTAACATAAAAAGAACTCTAATAAAAAAATTAACATTAGAAAAGTAGATAACGATTTACCTTACAAAAATGCCAGTTACCTAAAAGAAAAAAACGAAACAAAAATGCTGACAAAACAGTAGTGCATTTCCATATAAGAAGGTAATAAAGCAAGATAGATACAAAACATCAATGTAAACATTGTTGCCAATATTGATATGGCAAGATTGAAATATAATTTTTGTGCGGGGAATGTTGTAGTGAAATGTTCTAGTACTGGTATTACGTACCTACACTGGTATGAGGTATTTTAAAACAGGTACCTTTCAATAGACCAGGACAGTCATTATGATTGTGCAGTAGATTAAATAGGAAAGTTACATTATTGAGAGTTCTCTTGGTGTCTAATGATTAGAATTGAAACATATGCAGCAATTCTTTATCATCAAAATCTCTGACAGGATAAGTACCATAAGTTTTATAATGCAAATAATTTTGGAAATTTTCTTTGTATAGATTCAAAAGCATTTTTAATGGGATGTGTATGTTGGATTATAGATAATCGAACAGTACTCAATTTTAGAACGCACTAAACTATAGTACTACTGTCGATGCTGATGGCAGCACAACAGTTAAAAAACATTGTTATAAGTTTTTGTTTCTCCATTTTAGTTTGTGGTTTTTTTTGTGCAAAGAAACATTGTTAACGTCTAATTTTTGGATCTCGGTAAGTTAAAAATAAAAGGTTTTGGCCATGTTATATATAAGTACCGAAATATGAAATATGGACAGCTATACAGGGTGTTTCGAAATTCGCGCACACGGACTGTGGGATGGTGTTATACAACGAAAACTGAATAAAAAGTTCCCCTACTAGTTTTTGATCAGACCTGCACTTTTTTTTCGACGTGCTGAAGCTTGTTTACTAGCAGACTCTGTATAGGTTCCTTTACCTACCTTCGACAGAGAGATTTCTGTTTTTTATAGTCTAATATCTGAAATACCTTGCTATCTGAAATTAAGAAACCATCTGAAATAGGCTACTTTCCTCTACATTCGATCAATTAATCGACACCATTTGGATATAAATACTGCTGTCAGCTGTGTAACTCACCTGAGTTACCCAGTATGACCAACACAACAGTACAAAATGCTAAAACGTAATGCGAATTTATAATAATGACCTTTATTCACATATTATATACAAAAGTAACAGCACAAAAATGAAAAATAAGGCATAACGATATATCAAATATATAATAGTGAAAGGGTGAAGTTCAGACTAATTGGTCTGCTCTTCCACTTTACCCCAATATACACTTCATTTTTTTATGGCGAAATGAGTAATGTTTCTCTTAAATAAAACGGTATACCTGCGTTTGTTAAAAAAATGTGGAAATGAAACTAATAATAATGTAGAAACACAATAAAAAAAAACTTAAAGTGTTAAAAGAACTGGTTAACATTGGATTTGACTTCTATAAAGTAAAAGTCGCGTTTGTGTTTTAAAAGGCTTCAAGGAAAGATTTTTGATAAAAGCTGGCAACGAGTTGTATTGTTTTGCAATTTGATAAGAAAAACACCCTTCGAAAAGATGATACTTATGAGCTGGAATAGTCATAAGTCCTTTGTTACGTAAATTGAGATGGTGTACGTCTGTACGGAAAGTAATTTTATTATAAAGATACTGTGGTTTATGAGTTAAAACGATTTGATGACACATATACAAAAAGTGAAGGGAACGGCGATTTTCCATATTCAACCACTTTATTTCAGACATCTTATGGGAGACATGATCAAATTTTCTCAAGCCGAAAATGAACCGTAGACAAGAATTTTGCACTCGTTGTAGTCTTTTCCTGCTGGTTCCATCCAAGCAAGGTCCATATACACAATCTGCATAATTAAAATGAGATAGAACTAGCACATTCATTAGTTTTACTTTGGTATCAAAGTTAAAGTTGTATCTGTGGATATACAAAGATTTTAGACTGCTGAATGCATAGATTTATATGACTTTTAAAACGAAGATCGCTATCCATGATTAGTCCTAAGTTCTTGTGTTCCATTAATTTAATAAAATTTAATAATTAAGTTAATTTCAATAAAATAAAATGAATCACCCAGTAGAAATGATTTCACTGGGCCATAATAACTTGATTGTAAAACAAAATGTAATTGCTTTATTTTCACATATACTTTTTAGAAATGTTTAGTTTACAAATTACTACTTGACTGGCCCAAATTAACAAGAGACTCAAAATTTACTGCGTTCACAAACACACGTGCCAAAATTTAAAAAAAATTACAAACACCTTAAAGTCTAAAATTAAGTTTTTGCATAGATGAATCTCTGTGCTAGAGTGGACTGACTAGACTCTTTGCACCACAACAAGATGAAAACATTTGTAGGTTTCCGATGAAAATACCAAACATACCTACCTCAACCTGGGCATTTTTCAGAATCAAAAAACCATCCATTCCAGAAGACATATAATGCTTGGTTGCAAGGCGATATGTCTGCTGAAGCTTCACATATTCGTCGCCTATACGAATCAACGATACATCAACACGTTGTCCGGGTGGTTTACGAGGATCAAAAGCAAAACTTAAACCAGCAACTTGCGGAAACCGTCCTTCCAACTTAGGATATTGGCTAACCGCATTTTCCAATGTTGCCAGTACTTGTTCGCCTAAAATGGAACGTTATGACAATCAATTTAGAAAAAATCACGTACCCGTCACTAACAACACGACTAACGGATCTCGCATTGGGATAATATTTACTAGATCACGTAAGGTGAAATCACCTGCTGGATGCACTTGGTCTGATCTAAATGTTCCTGAGTTTAGTATTACTAAATCAGCACCGGTGGCCGCTAATACAATATCACAAACCTTCACAAATGGAATTAGGTTGATACACGCATTATATAAAAATGCTTACCCAATTTCCTAAGTTTGACTCAGATGTTCGGATGGATGTAAATCGCCCATCAAGAGGCACAGAGAAGCACCCCAGAACTTCGTCCAATTTCCCCTCGACTATACCTATAAGTGTGAAATTAAAATTAAAATGAGACAAACCACAGAATCTGTTCCTTACTAGTATACTTTTCTAGTTTCTCTTTGACTTTGGGGTCTTCTGAGAAGGCTGATGTGACGTTAATTTCTTCCACCGAAACGTCTGGAGAACCATTACTAATAAAACTAATAGTTATTTTACTGAATTGCCTAAAGTCTGTTCCACTTTTAATTATATGCTTTCCGTTCACAACTTTGACTTCGTACACGTGATCGTGACCACCTAAGATTAAATCGATGTCATCGCATTCTTCGGCTAGTTTTACATCATTTGGTGTTCTCATGTGAGTTAAAGCTATCACGTAATCACATCCCTGAAAATATGATAGCGAATTAAGTATCTACTGCAACAAACAAAATTATGTGTATATTGTTGAAGTATGTATATTATTGTATATTCAGTTGGTTTTTAAATTGTAATTCGTAGATTTTTACATTTTTATTACCTAGACAAACATTAGCCTTGCAAGATGTTCATAATGCAAAAGAAGACCTTGTAATTTCGAAGAATTTTATTACTATAAAAAAGTGTAATCGGTACATAAAACTTTCAGGGTGAGTGGAGTTTGTGCGTTCTCCCAGACTTTCTGCCGGCAAACATGCAGCTGACCTCTGGTGATTTCGGATCGCACTGTAAGACAAATCCTTCACATTGATTTCCTCTTTCATCCATACAAGTTAGCAGTAGTGTGTAACACACCTGGTCGCCTTTTTTGTTAAATTTACAAATTTGCCGGTAGGTATAGGAAATTGTATAGATGTAGGTACCGCTTCATTATGAAAGATAACAGAACTAATATCGGAGAAATAAAGCACGTTAAGGCAAAAGCGACTGTTCCAGCCGATAAGAGTCGAAACACTACAGTGTTGCAGGTTCTAAAACCGTCATGACAGAGCATGAGAAGGGCACTCTCCACTATTATTATATTATTTTACTAGGGGTAGTCCCAGTCGGTTCCTGCACTGTGATCCTTTGGTCTATTGTGCTCCCCGGTATTGACTATCCTTCAACCTGTGTCTTTAACATAAAGTCCAGGATTTTGATAACGCGAACCCTCATTACTTCCTCTTGTCTAATTTTTTCATTTCCAAGTAGGTGTTCCCTTGTCTTTGTGGATGCTTCACATTGGCTAATGACATGGTGTGGTGTTTCTTCTTCCTCACCACAACCCCTGCATAACGGGGCCTGTGACCATTTCTGTCAGGAGTTTTGTCTACTTAGCTTTAAGATGGACAATGCTATAATTCCCCGTTTGGGGTTTCCTGAATGTGGTTGGAATGGTTCTGTCCTGGAATGCCCTTTTTATGGCCTTATTGAATGCGGTAGTGTAGTTCGGTATGAACTCCACTCTCCTGTATTTTTTGCTCTATTAAAAAGCTTCCAAAGTCTGTGCCCACAATTGAGAGTCCCTCGTGCCACCAGGGCACTTTATTTGAGGTTTTCTTTCTTTTGTGGGACAGCTTGTCTCATAGACACCTTTGATGGCCATGCAAAGGTTTGATTCCATGACCTCCAGTCCGTGCATTATTGGATTAAGGTATTGGCGCTTAAATAAATTGTAACTACAAAAGAGTTGGGGGTCCAAGGTGAAAAACATTCCGTTGCGCTAGATTTGAAGTGGCAAGTTATGTAAAAAACCAACTTATCAATCAAAATTGTGCACATGCAATGCGAACAAAATTATAAACAAAACGGCTACTGGTAAAAAGGTCAAAGACAATTAACTCAAGCTTTTGTTTGCTCTTAAACCCTAAGTTACAAGGGTATATTTACATGACATTTACAAACTGCGGAACATCGGTAATTTATTACCGTGAATAAATCAAAGTTCAACTAATTAAATCAGATAAGGACGGTTTATTCCTGAATCAAATTATGTTAACCATCTTTCGAACACCTAATAATACAAAAGGTCTTGGCCCAAGGCGTTCCACTATCCGATTTTCTGATTTGTGGTGTCATTTTACAAGGGCAATTGGGAAAAATTTTTATTTTGTAATATTTTCTCCCCTAATTATTTTACAGCAGTGTTACGATAAGTAAATTTTTTGTAGATTATATAATTCTGTGTCTATTCATGTGCCAATTTTTTGTTGTGGGTAATCGGAGAGAGATTCGGGAAATTATAAATTAGCATTTTCCCATGGAATTGGGCATTAGCAGACGCAGAATTTTTCAAGCTACAAGAAACCTATGTATAACTTTGCTCTAAATTAATTAGGGGAGAAAATATATAATAAATAATATATAATTGTAACGAAGCCCCCGTTCTGGCCGTACTAGAAATTACCAGCTTTAATGACCACCCCGTGGATGTTGTGTTTGGAACGCTTCGTTACTGACAGCACTGAACTGTTTGAAACAATACCGCCGTGATTTGGTGTAAGAATAAGATTGTATTTGTGTTTTGTTTCCGGCTTGAAGTAGAAGTAAGTAGCCGCCGAAATTAATTAGCTGTTTGAGACTGTTCCAGCGGGAATATGTAAATTATTTTTTTCTATTTCGGTGTCACAATGATGATTTTGTACAACTGTTTTCGGCCGAAAACAGTTGTACAAAGACAGTGATTATAGTCGTTTTTTTTGGTAACTCATCTCTTAAGTTGGCAGTTACTAGTTAGTACAAGTAGGTACTTCGTTGGGTACTTCCATGTTTGAACTTCAAAATGTCAGTCTTACTACGCTGCCAACCTAAAACTTAACGGCATAAAAAGTGTTCCCAACATAAAACATGTTAGTTCTAATGTTCCCTATAATTTCTGATAATGATTTTTTAAATCAAATTTAAGCACCGAAATAGAAAAAATAGTATGAAAAACGCGTGTTACAATGCGACCTATTGTAATACTCCTATCTTGCGGACACTCGTGGCTACGCTTCGCGTCGCCACTCGTGCCACAAGATAGTCGTATTACAATAGGTCGCATTGTAACACTTGTCTTTCAATATACTATTGTAGCAGCCGAAAGCCCTTTTTGCGAAGAAGCTGAGGGATCAATAATATTATTACCTTTCCGTTAATATTAACTAATCAGCATTTTTAGTTTCCCTATAGTAAGTAAAACCAGGATTAGAACGGGTTTTAACAGGGAGAATGACACGCTTATCGGTTTCTGCGGCGTGTAGCCTATGCCAATTAGGCATAGGTGTTAATGGGAAATCCGAATTCTGAACTGCCACAGCGACCATTTAGGTAAGTGTAATTAATTTGCGACTAATTAAATGGGTTGCAGAAAACAGTAGCGGAATGCGAGTTTGATATCGTTGGATGCGCGCTTAATACCTTAACTGATTGAGATGTCGCTCAGATTTTTAGGACCGTAGGGGGCTTCAGAATTAATTCAAAATGAATATTTTATTTTCAATGTTATCTTGAATGGACCGGCGCGGGGTGGTAAAACCAAGTTCCCTTCCCGAAACGGTCGAAGTTTATAAAAGGTAAATGCTCCTAGAAATGCTCATTTTAGAGGGAATCTTTTTGCTTTTTGGTGTTCATACAAAACGTTCGATTTTTTGATAGTTTTCGCTCCGTTAGCTAAATTTCACCGCACCGTGTAATTTCGAATCTTTTGTTATTTTCCTAGCCGATTTAGTTTGGCCCCGTGTAATTCCGAAGGTAAGCTTTTGCACCCGTTAAATACCAAGGGGGGTTTTTATTTTGTTTTCCTGAATACCGTTTCCCGTAGCTACCGTTGTGAATTATTTGTGTTGCCGTTCTCGTTTGAGAAAGCGCTATCGTTCGTGTGCCGTAATTCTGTTTTCGCTTCCGCAGTCGCGCAGGCGTAGTTCGCGTGGAACCCGTCCGACCCCTGGAATACGCCGTCTCCAGCTGATTACCTATAACTGTAATCGTCTACGATACCGCCGTCCTGACCAGAGGCAGGGTTCCGCATCCCTCCTGTGGCGCTCGAGGATCCCGACCGACACCGCCGATCAATCAAGAGTATCTTATTTATTTTGTTAATTATTATTCCTTTCCGACCATTAAATTTTCTTTCTTATTTCATTCTATTATAAGACTTTGGTTTTTTTAAGCCACCGTTGTGTACGAGCTGGCCCAAAGTTCGTCGCATAATAAATGAGCATTGAAATGCCAACGGTGCGTAAACCGTTTCTACACCTTGTATATGTTTGTTTGCAGCATCAAATTCAACTTTTCAAATCAGTACAGATATTTAAAAGTGAATACAATATTACTGATGGTTTCAACAAATTATCTAAATAATGCCTTAAAACAATAATTTACAATAATCTGTTTAGAATACCTCTTGCTTAAGCTGAGTTGATAATTTTTGCCCTGCTTCAACAAAATCTAAGAATGTGACTTCTTCCGGATTAATAGTCGGCAGTGTGTCTAACCACTCCAATTCTACTAAACCAACCAAACCTATCCTCCGTCCAGCCGAATGTATCACATACGTAATTCGACCTTCTCCAAGTGGCCGACCAGTTTCATTATCCAACACATTAGACATCAACCATGGAAACTCAGTTTGCGCAACCCACTGTGATAAAACATCCAAACCATGATCTAAAGCAGCAACTTAAACAAATATACAAATGCACAAACTCACCAAAATCATGATTTCCGTAAACGGCACAGTGCACACCGATACTATTTAAAACGGGAACCATCTGCTGCCCTTTCGTAAATGTGCTTACTGGAACAAACTATTTTAATAAGTTGGTAAAAATGAAACGGTTTCTCTTACGCATGCTCGGCGAGAAGGCGTCGCCACTAAAAAGTATTAGCGGGTTAAGATTTTGGAAGCTTTTAATTGCAGTGCAGAACCGAGCAGCTCCCCCGACTGGTTCAGGTGATGCGCGGGGTTCTACATTGTATACGTCATTGAAATGCAGAATTACCAGATTTTGAGCCATTGTTCCTCCAGCTAAGGTATGGACTGCCCTTCTACCTGCTGCCCGAACTTCCAACGATGCCTTGAAAAAAATAACGTGTATGAAAGCAAATGTACTTATCATAATAATAAAAATGTAGGATTTTCTTCGGAAATGTGTAACATATACGAGCCCTAACACATAAATGTTCGGACATCTAGCATTTTTAAAAGAGAACCGAAAAAAAATAAATCCTGGTCAATGTCAATAAAGCCGCAAATATCTTATACAGAAATATGTATTATAAGTTTATTGTTTATGTTTAATAGCAAAAAACAATTTTTTTAATGCTCTCACATACCATAAAAATGGGAAAACCGGCGAAATTAACTGACACATAAATGTTCGGACACCACACATATTTGATAGTTTGATCTAGATAGCAGGAGAAAAACAAAAAATAATAACTTTTATAACCTGTCAGTACACTTTGACATTTTGTTAAAAGAAAAAATGGCACGTGGCAAAGCTACACGGAAAGAAATTCGACACTTAATAGTAAAATGGTTTCATAAGGGAAAATCCTTCAGGACAATAGGTCAGGAATTTAATTTTTCCATGTCCACGGTGGCAGATATTGTAACAAAGTATGGGAAAACGGCATCAATGGAAGTTGCAGGAAAAAGCACAGGAAGACGGCCAAAAGTTGCCCCTAGAATGCAAAGAGCGCTGGTAACCATTTGCAAATCTGGACGAAGAGACACAGTACGGAATCTTACGGTAAAATGGAACGAAGTAACAAATGCTCATCTTTCTCGCTAAACCTGTCGAAGGTGGATCCACAAATCAGGCTTACATTTTTATAAAGTAAGTGGATCTTTAGATTAAAATTAGTGAGCCTAAGAAAATACTTTTTTAAAGAGGCGAAAGAAAAACACCTTTAAAACAGAAAAACAATAAAGAAGAGGTTGGCTTGGGCTCGGGAGCGGCATGTGTGGTCTTACCAAGACTGGAAAAAAATCATTCTTAGTGATGAATCTCGATTTGATATCAGTGTAGGCGATAATCGAGAAAGAGTTATCCAAACGGAAAACAAAGCATTTCACAAAGATTGCTTAAAGCGTTCTGTAAAATTCCCCAGTGGTGTAATGATGTGGGGCAGTATGTCTGCAAATGGGCTGGGACAATTGCACTTTATAAATGGTAATGTTTATGCTCAGAAATATCAAGCAATTTTAAAACAAAGTTGATTGCCTTCACTTTCGACATTTTCACCTGATGCAGACTTTGTTTTTCAACAAGACGGAGCATCATGTCACAGCAAAAAAACGACTAAGAAATGGTTACAAGACCACAATAATAGTGTTTTAGACTTTAGAGGTGCCCTCATGCAGTCCAGATCTCAATGTCATTGAGGCAGTGTGACATAAAATGAAGCAATGTTTGCGTATTCACCCGCAGTGTAATATTGCTTCTTTGAGTGAAAAATTACAAGAGATTTGGGATACCTTTGGCACTGATCAATGTAAAACTCTTGTGACGACCATGCCTACACGAATCCAGGCTATTATTAGAGCCAAAGGGGATGTAATTCATTATTAAGGAGTGGTGTCCGAACATTTTTGTGTCACTTTAAATTCTAATTTTATGGTGTTTTGTGTTATTTGATGTTTGTAATTAATTAATTTTGCAACAAAATATAAAATGACAGTTATTAAATATGTTTAATTTATAACTATAGTAAGAAAAAAATAATAATAAAAACATACAATGATTTTAAGTTATAATATTTTTTAAATTTTGAGTGTCCGAACATTTATGTGTTAGGGCTCGTAATTAATTGAAGAAGCACAGTGTCAATAAGAAAACTTGAAACAAGAGCACTATTTCATTTTCATGGAATTTGCTGATGTTTTTCGATGATTTTCATAGTAAAAAAACACGCAATACCAAATTTGTTGAAATTGGAATTTTTTCCTACACTCTCGTGTATCGCTATCTTGCGGTAAAAAAACACATTTTGAGGACATAGCTCCCAAACGAAACATTTGGGAGCGTTTGGAAAAAAAATTTTTTGGTCCCTCTCCCCCACCCAATTTTTTTACATACGCCACATGATTTTTAACTAAACGTGTGAAGTTTGTACTCATTATGGGTTGTATTTATTCTCTTTTTTACAATTTGTTCAACAAACGACTATGATTTTATACAAATGGAAATGTCTCAACATTCTTTTGACCTCCAAGACATCAAATCACTCAGTCTATGTCAGGGATGGGGAAATAAATTTAAAAGAGGGCCACATAAAATAATTAGGTACACCATTTAAGCGGGCCAAAAAGGATTTATATAAGTAACAAAATCAGCTTGAGAAAAATTATTGTTTCAATATCCTGGGTTAGTGTCACAAATGAAATTTTGACCATTCATTCATTATAGCGTCGAAATTTGGGACATATTTAGCCATGTTAAAGTAACTTAGTGGCACCTATCATCAGCAACAAAATGAAATTACATGTGAAATCAAAGTTTATTACGAGGTTTATTAGTTACATTTCGTCATTGAATAAGAGGCTTATTCAATGATTTCGTTTAAATGAGCCGCAATGAATTGGTGAGTTTATAACATCTTGATCAGTCAATGTCAAATAAATCACGGCCTCAAATTGCCTGGAGTATGATTGAAATTTGAAAGTAATTTTAACCTTTATTACAGGGTCGCATAAATTAGACAATAGAAAAAATAATACGTTAGGTACGTTATAATTAATGATGTGTTTAATATATATTACATACCTACTACCGAAGCGAATTATTTAGGTTCCATTTCTAATTGCCTATTTCTATTTATCTACCTATAATAGGTAGGTACAATAATTGTACTTTTATATTATAGTCTCGCACAACCAACGTACGTAACATCAAATTACATTACAGCACAATGATGACACTTCCTTGTTATAAACAATTAGATACTTAGGTACCTACTGTTCAAATTATTTTTTTTAACACTACCTAATTAAGTGAAATTATAAAAAAACTAAATGTTAATTGGTTAACATTTGTGGTATATTTTTATTATGAATGAAAATATTCCATTCACTCACGAACTCGCTATTGTTATATGGGTCTAGCTATTATTATGAAGACAAATACGTGTTTAACTAAAATGTTAATAAGTACTAAATTTTAACCTTGCAGTAGCAGAAGAAGAAGGTTACGTTATACGTAAAATAAATATAATATTCCCGTATTGCGTTATTCCACTGACGTTTTTTATCACTACTACCCCCATTAAGGTTTCGTACAAAATTAGGCATGCGTTATGCGCTGTTTTGCGTTCAAAAATAAGGTTTTGGACTTTTAGGATTTTCCATTTCTTTCATTTTCAAAAATGGCGTTCTCCAAAATATTAGGCATGACCAATTGGTCCCAAGTAAATGGGGTACCTATTTCGCGCGTGTGCTGTTCTTCACTAGGTATACCATCAACACACGACTGGCATCTTGAACTGAATAACGAAAATAGGACTGAAACAACTGAAACCTTGGCCCAACACTCGTTAGTTTCTTCAACAGGAAACTCTAATTGGCATCCGAAATCGAGTAAGGTGAAAAATAGAAACACGTGGACCCCTAAAACTAGATAAATCCAAAATTGCATCTGACTGAAAGCTAGATGGTCTCGAAAATAGGGGAACAAGTAAAAATCTCAACAACAGACAAAATTTATTTATTTATTTATTATCCCTCTCTTAAAATTTTAAAAATATCTAGTGGGCCTATTGTTACACCAGAATTCTAGGACCGCTTTTACACGGCGTTACAGTCGCTCGGATCCACCTGAAACATTGCGTCTTATGGAGCCGTTCACGCACGCATACACCTGCATCTCAGGCAACAAACGTAGCTAGCTAACTAGATTGATTCTATTTGTGGTATTAATAGTTTAAAAAAAAAGTGGCACAGGGTCGCGAAAACCCCAAGCCCGTATCTTTAAAAACAGCTGAGATACACCGCAGTTTCAACCAAAATAGGACACACGGTACAGCACAGTCACGTAATGTCATGTGTTCTTGGTTGTTTCCAAAATCAATCTTGATTGCTTAAAGAGAATAATGGTCGACTTTACCACGCGTCCGTTGTCGGCCCGAAGATCTATGTCTTTCGATAATCGATCGGTAGTAGCGACGGGAAGTGTGTACAAAGGGCAGGTACTACCGCGACGTCTACGCGCGAAGCGTGGCGCTTTCGGCTATTAGGCCGAACAGGACTTGTTTGTTATCGGAATTAACCAGACAAATCGCTTTACCAACTAAGAACAGTCATGCACCACCACCCACCGAATCAAGAAAGAGCTGTCAAATCTGACAGTGTCTGGCCCTGGTGAAGTTTCCCGTATTGAGTGTAATAATTGAATAAGTAATTACTAATTATAATTACTTATTCAATGGTGTAATTGAGCGTTGAATTTTCTCAATTATTAAAGTATTCCGGTGGTAATTTCTTTTAATTCATTATCATGATACCTTCTATCATTAGTAAATTATATACACACCGTATAATCAAGGTTTCCATGTTTGTATTTGCCACAACATGGCGGACGGGCTGAATTGTTCCCACTGTCTTGTATACAGATGGTATACAGTCACTGTACCCACGACTACAGTGTCCCCTATCCGTGACCGTCCATTTTGCATTTCTGGCAATTGTATTAACTCTGAGATGACGCTTTAACGTTTCTCATAACGTACGGTGTTACAGCACGTTACGCCGGTGCTAGCGTTCACTTTTTTTGAAGTGACGGGCGAGGAGGAGCATTAGATTGTTGCAATATTTCCGCGCTATAGGAGCGGTGGTGTTCCTACGCTATGAAACAGCGGTAGGTGTTTAGATCTACGCTATTGATAGCGGTAGACCTGGAGTAGTTCCACGATACGGGGGCGCTGACGCAGACTCAATTTGGCGCTATGACATTAGGTTAGGACGCCTACATTTGACCGCAAGACAGTAGACCGCAGTAATTGGGACGCGAATATTAGGACACGGACATTAGTACGCACTACGCAGACATTGTGACGCGAACAGTAGAACGCAAGCATCTAGTAGATCACCTTACAAAGCAAGAGATTAGGTCGCAGGTAGGAAAATAAAAGGTATAACTAAATTAAACCTCTTATTTCATCTGTGTATGCGCTCTAACGTCTAATCCTAGCCTAGGATTCTAATGTCTGCGGCCTATTTCCTTTGCGGTCTATTGTCTTGCGGCCCAATGACGGCGTCCTATTGTCCGGTCACCTCAATTTGTATGCCGATGCACGCTCTTTTATACCCCATTTCTGTGGTGTCCACGAACTTATAAATTAAAATGGACTGCTAATGCTAAATTGACAAATGACACCAACATGGGGGCGGCCATGATGTGTACTCACTATAACCTCACATTTCGATGAAAGTGAGTGAGCTTTTTATTGAGATTGTGGAAAATGTGGGGATTCTTCCGCAATTTTTTTTTTGTTGAAAGCGCTTAATTAAGGTACCCTCGACCTATTGTTATTAATTTCATGATCAGAGCTTGGGGTCCGTATAACGCTAACCCCATATACTGATATCTGTCTGATGAAGGTATACCTACCTGGTCCACTATTCTTAATAGGTACCTCATATTACATACCTACATTCTTAAAAAATTAAGAACAGTAAAAAACTATATTGTGGTGGCTTTTTGAGTGGCGTACCTAGTCAGTGAAGATTTCTGTTGATAAAAATTCTTAAAGATTATGAATGTATAATTAAAATTCGACTGTTGATAGTTCCATGTAATTCGAGACAACCATGCAAATTTAGATTTGGATTCGTGTATGGAGCTCTCCATGATTTTAGTTTCGACTATATTGATCTTGTCATTATCTTAATTAACATTTCCAAACGATTGTTTTTCAGAATGTACTGCTTTTTAAATATAGCGAGATTCCTTTAAGAGTACATATGTACAATTTTTCTCTGTACCCTTTTAAGAGATTTTAAATTGGATTACAGGGAACTTAAACAACATCTGTACACAAATGCCACTCAAAATTTGGAAGTTTGCGCCTTATTGTAATCTTTAAGTTAAACACGAGCACACATAAATGAAACTTTATTCACTACAAAACCGAAAAATTAAATGTATTCATTCCCTGCTGTAATGTAATGTTGATACATAAGTTGGCAAGTAGTGCTGAATGTTGGCACTTTACCTATTGTACAGATTCATCAACATTTTTTTTCTTTGTGGATATTTATGTCTCATTCGAAATGTCAAACTCTAAATATTATGCTCGCCAGGAGCGAATGCCGGTCACAGAACGGCTGATAGCGGTCTACAATCGTATGTTGTTCATATTAAACCATACAATTTATTGCAGTAGACCAGCATCAAGTTGTCTATCAACACTTCATCACAGTAGCTACCATCATTTGTTAATAGATGCTATTTAAAATTCGATCTAAAATGTCCAAAACTTTGATGTGGTACAATGATATTCATGTAGAAGTAGACATGGAGATTTCCTATGTCTACTTTTACATGATAGTCTTCTAAAGGACGCCTTTATGCAACCAAAATAACCATCCTACAACAAATGAAGATCTGCCTGTTATATTAATTAATTTGAATATTATCGCTTTGACTTCCGTATTCTAATTTTCGTTCGTGTGTGATGTATTCAACTAAAGAAAAATTTGATATTTCCAATTGGTATGGTGCCGGTAATAGTTAAATGAGATTAAGAGATTTATTTGCAGTGAAGCCAAAGCAACAATATTCAAATTAATAATTAATATGACAGCCAGATGTTTATTTGTTTCATGAAGTTATTTTGGTTGCATAAAATTAGGCATCCCTCAGAAGACTTGTTATCATTTGAAATTAGACATTGGAAATCCCTATACCTACTGCCACATGATTACCACTGTATACATATACATAAGAGAATATTATCAATAAAAAAATCTCTCAATATATCCATGAAATTTAGACTATGAAAGAAAGGGGACTGATAATATCCGATCAAGGGCAATGCTGCGCGTAGAAGCCTGGGGCGGCCATATTTTCGGAGCCAAAGTTTGTTTAATTTTTCATTTTCGTGATTATGCGATTCTTCTCGAAATGTGCGATTAAAAACATGATTGGACAATGGTATATTGTAGTGCACTGAAGTGATAGCCAAAAAACACACGAAAGTATATCGTTTCACAGGTATAAATTATAAGTTAGTTTTCGGTGAAATAACAAACAAATGTGGGCTTCACTTTACGATCATTATTATCACTCCTCACTCTTTCCTTCTCTAAGCATGAAATGGACTAAACAGGTGAATCTCGAGAAGAATCATATAATGTTTCTTTTAGTATGTAGGCCTATTGCTGTATTCAAGGATTATCATAGTTACTAGTTTTTAAAAAAAATTTGCTGTGGCTAGCACAGATACCACCCACACACCTGCACATGCGTGATTCTGCCCTTTTATTCTAAAAATATGCGTACTAAATTTGGTTCCAATCGGTTCAGCTGTTTAGCCAGAAATGACAGTACAGACGGACCAACAGACATCGAGGTTTGTTTGATTCGGATTCCTGGTTCTTCAAAACATGTATTTCCGTCAAAAATGGGATCATTATTTACCCCTCGATTTACCCCAATGCAATACCTCCCTTACCTCATGTGTGGGTGGTAAAAAAGAGTGTCATATGCATATAAGTATGGAAGTATTGAACGTCAGAATCTTGAAACTTGAAACCTCATTTAGGTATAAGTAATATTCAACAAGTACCTACATGTAAAAAATACTTCAGATTCCTAGTATAATAGATCTTAACTTATCGGTAACTACAAATAACAAATCTCTCAAAAAAAACAAACAAAAGCTAAAGACTAACAGGCAACGAACTAATTAGAACAGAATCATGCGGAAAAAACTGAAACTTCAAGGGAAACTATATAGGGAAATATTAACCTGTTTTAGCCATCCGACAACACTAGTAACTTTGTTAGTAACTTCAGGAGGAACTTCAATGGTATGTTCTTCGACCAACGAAGTCCATTTTGATCGAAGTGCTGCCTGCGCTGCGAAACTGGCCATGCTGAATGTGTTAGTCTCAAACCTGCACATTTTAAATATTGGTTTGATACCTTCCAGGGCAGGAGTTATTGGGTTTTAACAAGCTGGCAATGAATAATGAAAGGGTAATTCAATTTTGCTGTAGCTTTTGCCGAAATTGTGGTCTCATTTTCAGTTTAAATAACAACTCACCTTTATGTACAACTTACAAATTAATTTTGGTAACTAATTAAGTATTTAATTTAAGTATTGAAGATTTAATTGACTATAATTTCATATTTGATTTTTCACCATTTTTTTTCATTCGTGACTGACATTCACAGATGGAAGTCAGAAGTGTCTCACCTACGCCTACGGTTGGAGACAGTAACAGCGTTGCCTCCTTTTGTATAATGTTATCCGTGACTGATTAGTGTGTATAATCCAAGGACGTTAAAAATACCTCCTTGGTATAATCAAAGAATACTTTACTCTTTGTTACTCTTTGGTATAATCAATGTCCGGGAGGAGCAAAAATTAATGCGGATTAATATACTGTGCGATCAAAAATGAGTTGCTGTCGAGTCACCTTTGGAACTTTTGTTTACATGGGAAATCGTATTTAACTTCCAAAGGCGACTCTACAAACCCTCATTTTTGATCGCCCGTTAGTAGGCTAGAAGGAAATCCAATAAGCATTATGTGAGTGTAAAAACAAACTAAAAGCGTTGATGTCATTCATGTGTTTTTTGAGTATTTTGAGTACAAATACAACGATGTAGTACAATGTACGGTATACAAAAAAACAAGGGTTGGTAACTGTTGGTTTCAACAGAATGGTGCGCCCGCGCACAACGCCCTAATCGTGCGAGAATACATACCGAGAAATTTTCGATTACCCAGAAAATGTATTCTCGCAGGATTAGGGCGTTGTGCGCGGGTGCACCATCCTGTTGAAACCAACAGTTACCAGCCCTTGTTTTTTTGTATTCTTAACAAAAAATGCTACTCAATACAGTGTTCTTTTTTTACGGGGCATATAAAAAAATAAAGTTGACGATAATTTCTCCGAAACGAAACGTTATATTGAAACTCTCTCAACGGTGTCTTGTAGAACTCAAAAAGTGGCAATGGAAAAGTGTTTATTTTTTTGTATCAGAAAAAAATAAAATCAAAATCGGAAAATTTTGGCTTTTGTGGCATATCTTCGGAAGTAATCATAATTTTCTGGTTTTTTAAACATGTTTTTAATTGCGCATCTTTTCTCTAATTTAACCATCCTTGTATCTTCTATGGTTTATACTATGGTTTCGGTGATCCCATGATAGACACCCTGATCTTGGACACAAAACAGTCCTATTCTCGTGTATCTTGAAAACTTTTCAATATTGAAACCTTTTCAAGAAACTTTTCAAGTGACTTTTACAATATTGAAAATTATTTGTATTCTCGTGCTCACCTTGTAATCGTATGTTTACGTTTTACAAGATTGAAAAGTTAACAACCATGAAGTTGTAACACAGTGTAGCCAACCCACAAATGTGAATAATGTGCGCGTGCGTAAGTACAATTAATTAGCTGTTTGGTATTGGTCCGTAAAGTTAGCACCAACATGTAAGGCACAAACAATTTAATGATAATACGTCGATTGTGCTTCGTTTGTGCTTGTTTGTGCGATACATTTTAAAGTCAACACCCGCACCAATATTATGTAATTTCAATTTTTATTATGCGGGTGCCAACTTTTACGTGGCACCCAAAAGGTTAACGAATTAAAATTGTAATATGCTTATTCGTTTGTGCTTCGTTTGTGCTTGTTTGTGCCTTACATTGTAACATCAAAACTCTTACCGTTACTGAGTAATAAAATTTTCAATTATGCGGGTGCCAACTTTTACGTGGCACCCAAAAGGTTAACGAATTAAAATTGTAATATGCTTATTCGTTTGTGCTTCGTTTGTGCTTGTTTGTGCCTTACATTGTAACATCAAAAGTTTCACCGTTACTGAGCAATAAGTACAACTTTCAATTATGTGGGTGCCAATTTACACGTAGCACCTAACAGGTTAACGAATTAAATTTGTAACATTGTCACGTACAAAAGATAACAGCAAGAAACAATACAGAAAAATACAAATTTCAAAGTCCTGGCGATGGACAAGAGTATGTTGCCGGCCTTGCTCGTCGGTGGGTCGAGGTTCCTTAATTAGAGAAAAATTAGATAGGGTGCCAGAAGCTTTATTTTCCACAACAATTAGGCAATCCTGCTCTCGCTTCACAAACAGGATAAATTAGCGCAGCCAGGAATCGAAACAACACAGTCAAATAAGAAAAGAAACACCAACTTAAATGGATCAATGGAATATATACAGGGTGATTCCTATAGTACCTGCCACCGTTTGGGAGCGTGTAGGTGGTGCGTAGGGGAGTATTTTGATATAGGACACTTGGGGTCGGAAATCTAAAATAAGGGTGCCAGAGCCAAATTTACCTTCTGGAATTTCGCGCCTGTAGGTAGGCAACCCAACCGGCCGGCGGTGCACACGGAGCGATCTCAGGCGGCGATGTGTGGCTGACACTTGTCAGAATTTTGTTTAAACCCACGAAATCCCGTCTGCAACGACGCGTATCAAGTGAATAAACACTATGGCACGTTTTACTAACACGGAATACGCGGACATGCACTTCATGTACGGATTGGCAAATGGTAACGCACGAGCTGCACGACGAGCGTACGCTGAGCGGTATCCAAACCGTCAGTTACCCTGCAGACAGGTCTTTCAAGAAGTTCACTTCCGACTGTGCGAGACAGGGCAATTGCAGGTAAGCTGACGGAGGCTTAACTTTACACACAGATTCGTGATGCACATCGATACTTGGGTCATTTAAGCACCCATTTCGAAAAGTTTGTTTGTTTACACCGACCTCCTCCTATTTCGCAGCCCACTAGCGCCCGTGTGCACCGCCGGCCGGTTGGGTTGCCTACCTACAGGCGCGAAATTCCAGAAGGTAAATTTGGCTCTGGCACCCTTATTTTAGATTTCCGACCCCAAGTGTCCTATATCAAAATACTCCCCTACGCACCACCTACACGCTCCCAAACGGTGGCAGGTACTATAGGAATCACCCTGTATATATTCCATTGATCCATTTAAGTTGGTGTTTCTTTTCTTATTTGACTGTGTTGTTTCGATTCCTGGCTGCGCTAATTTATCCTGTTTGTGAAGCGAGAGCAGGATTGCCTAATTGTTGTGGAAAATAAAGCTTCTGGCACCCTATCTAATTTTTCTCTAATTAAGGAACCTCGACCCACCGACGAGCAAGGCCGGCAACATACTCTTGTCCATCGCCAGGACTTTGAAATTTGTATTTTTCTGTATTGTTTCTTGCTGTTATCTTTTGTACGTGACAATGTTACAAATTTAATTCGTTAACCTGTTAGGTGCTACGTGTAAATTGGCACCCACATAATTGAAAGTTGTACTTATTGCTCAGTAACGGTGAAACTTTTGATGTTACAATGTAAGGCACAAACAAGCACAAACGAAGCACAAACGAATAAGCATATTACAATTTTAATTCGTTAACCTTTTGGGTGCCACGTAAAAGTTGGCACCCGCATAATTGAAAATTTTATTACTCAGTAACGGTAAGAGTTTTGATGTTACAATGTAAGGCACAAACAAGCACAAACGAATAAGCATATTACAATTTTAATTCGTTAACCTTTTGGGTGCCACGTAAAAGTTGGCACCCGCATAATAAAAATTGAAATTACATAATATTGGTGCGGGTGTTGACTTTAAAATGTATCGCACAAACAAGCACAAACGAAGCACAATCGACGTATTATCATTAAATTGTTTGTGCCTTACATGTTGGTGCTAACTTTACGGAGCCGTTTGGTATAAATAAATACAAGTTGATTTAAGACGTGGTGTTACGTGTAGTTGACAATGTTTTTAAAAAAAGCAAGGACATCGAAATCGCAATATACTATTTATGTAGAGTACTTAGAAAAAAATTGTTTGTTAAGAACTTTCTCCTAACTTGGGCCCAGAGGATCTTCATTCTTTGTGGCTGCAACTAGCAGAGGAGCTAAATGCATGTGGAGATGGACCCACTAGAGAAGTTGAAGGATGGAAGAAGGTATTTTACCTACTTTAATATACAATTGTTAATTATATTTTCTGACTACAGGTGTTCACTGCGTGGAAATCGCAAACTCGCAAGAAAGCACGGGAGAATAAAGCACTAAATGCTCTCGAAATAGGGTTATTAAGGGCAACCGGCACAGTGGTAGTGCATGGGATTTCTACAGTACCTGAAATAGGGGTAAATGAAGTGCACGAAGCGATTCATGCAGTTGAAAACGTGGAAATACAATATGTATATCATAATTCAGGTATTTTGTAAAGCACGTTGTTAACATTTACTTTCAGGTTGACGAAGTAATACAAGATGTAGATGGAGCGGTAGCCTCACTGGATGTTCCCATAGAACAGATACTCCCTACCCATAAGGACGCCTACATAAACGTTGTTCATTGCTTCAAATTGAATAATTTTAATGATTCAAAATAAATTAATACAACTATTACATTTGTTCCACATGTTGTAATACATCTATTAATAAAATAAATTCAGGATCATTCATATTGGAAATGAACCCTAACCTTTAAATTAACTTGAAGAATGGCTAGCACGGATAATCCGTACTTGCTAAGATTTCAATATTAAGTTCTCAATATTGTAAACTTTTACAATGACTAATGTGTCACAAGAATACGAAACCGAGATCAAATTGGGAAACTTTTCAATTCTTGTTTACTTTTCAATATCGTAACTATTTCAAGATGCACCAGAATAACACCGAATGTACAGATCAGGGTAGTATCGTATACATATCCATTCTTATAAGCACTGAAACGGTGTAGCTGGAGACCTTAGAGCACTCGTAGAGATACGAGTAAATGGCAGAGTTGGCACTGCGTTACCTCAAACCCGCCGCATAAACGGCCAACTAGCTCAGAGTTGGAAAACAAAATAAGAGCTTCAGATCTTCCATAGCGGTAGTTCGTTCTGGGCATTTGATCTTCTTAATTTCGTTGCACTTACTGACTTACCAATGGTTGATCACCACTCAATTTCTATCTTAACCCTACCCGTGTGAAAATGAGAAGATACGAGGGTAGTGATAACAGTACAAATCAGTTTAGGTACCAAGAGAAATACTTACTGGTTTATGGTCAAATATTAAACTGTAAAATAAAATTGTGTTTATAATGGGATAGCGTATCACCATCACAGAGTTGTATATAAGTA